GAGATGAAGTGGTTTGCCCAGTTAAAAAGGTGGTGTGGGGCCATTGGAGAAAACAAGAGATTGCTGTGCATTGCTGAGGTATGACCTGGCTCTGCTGTGACTGTCCCTGGCACTCCCTCAGCAGGTTTGTCACTGGCAGGGATGGCTCATACACACTCTCAAGGTCTCAGCAAATGTCCTTCTTATATCTCTCAAAACAAATATTTCACTGCTGCTTCAGCTGTGCTACAACACCCACAAGTTCTGTGTAGTATCATGGAAGAAAAAACCCTCTGTCACAGAGGAATCCCTTCTCCAAAGTCCTGCTTACAATTGCTTGCAGAACAAGGCCTCTGTTTCATCAGAGGAAAGATTCAAAACATCCACTATTAACAGGAGAAACACAGATGCTGACTGATACAAATGCTTTTCTCAAAGCACTGATGACATAAATTGAACCTCTGCTGCATCCCATCAGTGAAACAATCCTGGATTTCCATCCTCAGGTACACCCCAAGTACCTCACTTAGCCACATTTGGATATATTTGGTGTACCCAATGCACACAAGCCAAGAAGCTCAACCCTTCCACGACAGAAGAGCAGCCACAGGCAATGTTTCCCAGGGAACATTTGTGTCTTTCACTGCTCTGACCTGTCAATTGCTGGGATGTTTGTCTCTAATCCAGTCACTGAGTAAATTGACTTGTAATGTAGAAAGCAAACGCAAATTGTGTAATTAAATCACTTAATTTGCCACATGAGGCCTTTCAGGATCAATGCACTCATATTCACAAAGCTCAGTGAGGGTGGAAAACTCTCAGGAAGCAGCAGATAACAACCTAAGAATGGTCTGATCATCTCTAAATGAGATGGAGTGAAGTCAATAGGAATCATTTACTGACTTCAGATCAGATCCATCCCTCCTTTGCCACCTCAATTATGGGTTTGCCTAATGCTACAGCAGTGACAGAGATTGTGAATTCCTGCTAAACCTGAGCTCTAGAACAGTTACCAAAGGGTATTTGCAATGGACAGAGGAATTCCTTGTTCCAATCATCATTCCTTGGCTGCTGAGCAGTGCTGTGACCCCTGGGCAATGGCAGCATCCTGGAAACAGCATTTCTGGGCTGCACTCCTCTGCTCGGACACTTCTGCAAGAAAGGCTACTTGGAGCCTGCTCACGTGGGGTAGGAGCCAGATTGCACCCAAAAATCATAAACTGATAAATGCCATCTTCCTTATCTGCAAAATGAGTGCTGGGTGCTCCACTTCACCCACGTGCTCTTGAAAGATTCTTCACTGTTATTATGTCTGAGGAGTTTTTCCAAGTGCCATGTTGGCAGGTGACAACCCCAACATTCATAACATGCAGGTAAAATGTTATGAAGCAGAGGAGAATAGTAACAATTTTTTCTTATTGGAAGAAAATTTTTCATTCCATCAAAACATGTCTTCACAGGCAGGATAAATCCCATAAACTGCTTTAACCTGCATATCTGCCTACAGCCCATCATGATTGGAACAAAACATGTAATCAAAGCAAATGAGCATAATTACCAATGTCTACAAATATGGGGGTTTGGGTTATTTTCTCATTTCATATGTGACCATTTTACCACTGGTTTACATTTAAAAATATGAATAAACTCTATTAGATTGTGGGATGAAATTGCACACATTAAAAATTCCCACAGAAAGCATCCCATTGCTGTGATTACTGTTATAACTATTCATTCAAATCGACTCTTCTCTCCCCAAATGTAAATGCAACCAGATCACAAAGTAATCTTTATATCTAAGGAATAACCTGTTCCCAGGCAGAGTGGGGTTCCTTGCTCTCAGATTTCACCAAGACACTTCTTTCATTCCTCCCAGGCAGGAACAAGGAATAGTGTGTTCTGTTCCATTTATCCAGGGGCAGCTCATGCAAATGCCTTGGGTGTTTTACACTCTCCTTTCTGATCCTGATTATCCTGACGGGTGAAACAGATTTCTCTAAGGCACCCTCACACCTGCACAGCTTTCCCAAGCAGTGACACCTCCCTGGCACCCCCTCTGTGCAGGAAAAGCCAGCAGGAATTACCTGGGGCTCCCTGAATCTCCCAGTGTGACAGCAGCAGCAGGCACAGCCCATCTCCAGCGTTGGGATCAGCTCCTGTGACATCTCAATAGCTCCTGGCACGGCTGGTGGCACGAGCCATGTCAGCAGCCAAGTGACAGCCACGGAGTCACCTGCCAGGCCATGGCTCCGGGAATCAAGGAGCACATCCATATGGATGGCACATAACAGCCTGGCCTCAGACAGAGCTTCACAGAGGTGACATCAATCAAGCTCCTGAGCAGGACAGGTGCGTGTCACAGCTGTGAGATGTGGAAGTTCATTCATTTAAATTACATCTTAAACCAGACAGAACCATAATCTGTCCTGAGGCACCTTAATACATCAGGTAGACAGATCCATCTTTCAGAAGGTCCTGAGTGAGGTAATTTTTTTCTGTATTATGACCTCCCAATTGAAAACAGGACTTAAAATTATGTTTAAACTATGTTGCTCCTTCTCCTCACAAGTGCAAATTACATGATACATTTAGAAAAAATACGATCAGAGGGCTGGCTGGAGCACCTCTGCTATTAAGAAAGGCTGAAAGAATTGGGATTTTTCAGGCTGGAAAAGGCTCCAGGCAGACTTGGAAGCCTCTTCCAGTGCCTGAAGGCCTCCAAGGGAGCTGGAGAGAGATTTTGAACAGACGCATGGAGGGATAGCACAAGGGAGAAATGGCTTTGAAGGTAAATTTAGATTAGGTATCAGGAAGAAATTCTTCACCAACAGATGCTTTCCCTCACAATCTCACAACACATACATGTGCTGATGGGATGCCTGAGCTGGGAGCAGAGGAATTCCTTCCTGAGGGACCAAAATCTCTCTCCTGTCTTCAGCAGGGGACAGCACCAGCCCCAGCTCCTTCAGCAAAAAGTTCAGAAATCCCAAAGAGGCAAGAATTGGAGTAATCCTTTCTCCATGTCAGGACTCATTTTGGACAATGGAAGGCAGGAATTGACTCCAGTGCTCCCACAGGAGGTTGGGAATTCCCCCCAGCAGGATCTCCAAGGCTCTTACAAAGAGCAATAACCTTGGCATCTGCCTAAGTGACCGATTCCTGCTGTGGCACTGTGCTGCATTCTCAGCCTCATGGACCCTGCAGGGCCACTGGTTCAATTTCACAGCTTAATTCAATCCCAAATTATCAAATGCATGCAATTAAATTACCTGGTGACATTTGAATCAGCAGGCTGCCCAAGCTGGACGAGGAGCAGACACGGATCCCGTTCAGACTGTGCACAGCAGCAGCCGCTGCCTCCAGCAGCAGCCCCACGAGCCTTCCCTGCTGCTTTATTTTATTTTATTTTACCAAGTCAGACAGGTGCACTCATTTCCTGGGCATGCCTGAGCAATTCCCTGAAGGGCACCAGGGAACTGCAACAGCTCTGCAGCAGGTTTGGTCTCGTCCCCATGCACCAAGCCCTGCCCGCAGCTCTCAGCCCCAGCGGGAACCACGACCAGTCCCCGTGACCAGAATGTGCCCAGGTGGGGACACAGAGAGGGAGAGGGGCCCCAAACTGGACCACACCCCCAGATCCATCTCCTCAACATGAGCACACTTCGCAGTGTTGCACCTGGAGCTCCTCAGCTCCCCCAGCGTCTGACATGTCCCGCACTGGGCACAGAATCTCTGAGTCACACAACAGTTTGGGTCACAAGGGGACTGAAAGGTCTGCCCCCACCCTGGGTAGGGACACCTTCCACTACCCCAGGGTGTTCCAAACCCCATCCAGCCTGGCCTTGAACACTTCCAGGGGCAGCCACAAATTCTCTGGACAACCTGTGCCAAGCCCCTTCACAGGGAAGAATTTCTTCACCTTCACAGGGAAGAATTTCTCCCTGATATCTCATCTAAACCTGCCCTCTGTTTGAAGCCATTCCCCTCTGTCCTGTCACTCCATGCCTCTGCCCAAAGCCCCTCTCCAGCTCTCTTGGTACTCCCTTTAGGCACTGGCAGGTGCTCTGAGGTCTCCCCAGAGCCTTCTCTTCATCATAGTTTGGACTGTAATTTACCCTGATGCTGAGGGCAATGACCACATGTTCCAGCTGTCATTTTTGCTATTATTACACCAACTTGCCCAGTCCAATGCCTTGCTGAACAGCAGGCTTAATTGAGCTCATTCCTTCATTATTCAGAGAGTACCACTCTGCTGACAGGGTATCCCACAGACAAAATATGTTAAGATCTGCCAGGGCTGTTCCTAATGGCACCAGACCATCACTCCCCTTATAATTCTTCCTCTGTAGATGTTACTGAATGCTTCACTGCAGGGCACTGTTGAAAAAACGTTTAGGATTCCAGAAACACCAGATCCTGCTTTATATTCCATAAACAGTTACAGCTGTAAGGTGGAAAGCAGGGCCAGCAGAACATCTTCAGGGCCAGGAACACATGAGACAAATCCCCTTCACAATTCCATCAGCCTTTCTTTGCAATGAGGGAAGAGAAAAGCACACTCCTGACCCTGCCTTGGTGCACAACACCATCTCAGCTGGATGCTGCAGGAGCAATGCTGGGTGGGTGGGATTCCGACCTAGGGGAGGAACCCTGTCTACAATTCCATCATTTTTTCAATAGAACCATAACATTCAAACCACTTCACAAAGCTGTGAAAAGCCATATGACAAGATGAGCAATGCCTTCTGCCCCAGTCATACCCAGCTGCTGTGATGATCCAGGGACCTTTGGATGGGGAAGGTGCTGGGCTGGTAACAATTCTTCTCTTTCTCTTCTGATTATTGGAATGAGCAGCAGCATTGAGTTAAAAATAAGACCAAGCATTCTCCAGACCTGCAATTATTCTCTCGACTGGTACTTGTCTGTGCTCTTTCTCTCACTAATCACTGCAGCACAAAACAATGCCAGAGGATTTGAGATCCGAGGCCAATCTCAGCTCAGTAAATGACTAATAACACAAGTCGTTTACACACATTTAATTCAACATACCAGAAGCAATTTTCTCACTCTCTTTAGCATTTTATTTGCTTATAAATACAAGTCAATACCACAAGATGGCACTTTCTTACTTGCAACACACACTATTATAAACACTTACCCTCTTCAAATGTTCCCAGAATTTTACATGTAACTTCTCAGTGGTTCTGAAACATTTAAAAAAGCAAGACCTTCTACAAACTGCATTTGTGTTTGATGTATATTAAATGAGGTCAGGTAATTAAATTCAAAAAAAGGAATTTATAAATATTTCAGATAAGAAAATTTAAATACAAAAGCAGAGTTTGTTTTAATTAAACTGAATAACAATTTAAACTGGCCATAATGTATCTACATGGTTTAATTTAATTTAAAATCCTTTTTAAACAATCAAATCCTCTAGCCATTCATCAAAACACCTATCTACTCAGCTCTTTAGAAAATATTCTTGGTTAAGAAACCACCTATGCTTTTTCATAACGATCCTTATTCTGTCCTGTAGGTGGAAATGAAGCAAAATCATATTCCAGACTAGAAAACAGGATAAGAAGGAAGAAACTTTAAAAAACCTGATAGCTTCAGACACTTCAACTCATTCTTCCTTGCATTTCTCAAAATACATGATCTGGTTTTAAAGTCTTTGAACGAAATGTAAACACTAGAAAACTCATTGTTGAAGTATGTGAAGAATAAAGAACCCTGCACTAATATAGTGCATAATGATGCTGTGTCAAACTTGTCATTTACAGTAAATGTCACAATTTCCTTGGGATTGTCATGCCTTTTTTTTCAACTAATTCCTTTTGATGTCTGTAGATTCTCTCTTTCTTTTTTTGTTATTCCCATTGTTCAACAGGAAGGGATGTAGCTGCTGTTCTCTTCAGAAAAGTTTCACAAGATCCAAGTTTTTTACTCCATTTTTTTTCTTTAATAAAGAGGTGGCAAAATTTTCAGCTTGCAATACTTCTGTCCTGCCCAGGATATTATACATCAGGAGATTCCTCAAAAAACTGAGAAGTCGGAGAGTTCCAAAAAAGAAAGCATTTAAGGCAGTTGATGTCTACATTTGGATTTTTTGTTTATGTTACATATCAATGTCTCCATCATAGGCCAGGGTTAGAGGCTTCTGCTGGGGTGGAGGGCTTTGATGCTGCTTCGTTTTTTTGCTGCAAGAAAAGCATTTCAGAAGACAAAATTACAAACTGTAACAAGCTCAGAAACATCCTCAAGCCCCAAACTTCAATTTAAAAAATCAACTTTCCATAGTGGCGACTGAATGCTGTAACTGGGTGGCACCACAGGGGCCCTCTGGTGCTCTCCTGTGTGTGGCATGGACACAGCCTGGCAGAAAGGGGCAGCCAGCTGTGCTCCCCATCTGCAGAGGAAATAAAGCACATTCGTCTCCCATCTCTTCTCACAGCTGACAAAACAAGGAACACCTTGCAGAAAAATTGGAACATGAGCTGTCTGGGACTGGGATATTCTCATTTTTCTTTGGCATAGTATTGAAGCAACAATAATTATTATTGAGAAATGCATTTCCTTAGCAGCCTCCAAGTGATGGAGAAGTGTGTAACGTTATTTAAAAAATCCTCTGTATCCTCTGCTGTGAAGCCACAGAGAAATGGAGCCACATGGCTTGGAAAATAAGGGAGCTGCAGCTCCTAAGCTGCTATTATTTAAGCTTTTGACCCAAGAGAGAGAATGAGAGAGAGAGTAAGAGAGAGGAAGGGAAGTGGAGGAAGAGAGGGTGGAAGTGGGCAGTGATGCTGTCAGGCCACAGCTGCGACTCTCTGTGCCTGTCCTGGCTGGACAGTGCTTGGGCCAGCTTGCACTGTGAATGTTTGTAAGCTCAGGCCCAATCTCTGGGAATTGCAGAGCACCTGGCTGCTTCCCCTTCTCCCTTCCTGCCCCCCCCAGAGGCATCAGTGGCATCCCAAGTATCCAAGCAGGGAGGACAAGGAGAGCTCTGTCAGGCTGGGCTCACCTCCCCTGTGCTGCAGGAGGACACACAGCCCTGACCCCCAGCAACACCCCAGAGCCCAAAGGTGCAGAGCTGCTCCCTGTCCTTAACAATGGCTGGCAAGAGCAGCTTTAGACACAGGACATGTTTTCACTGGATGTATTCACTGCAAAAACCTATTTAGGGATTTTCTGAGCTGTAGCGAGCAGCCAAGAAACCACAATTAACACCAAGAGACCCAATCTCCCATGAACTCCTAAGCCATCTCTGAATCCATTTATCTTCCTGGCATGCACAGCCCTGGCAGCAGCAAGCTCACAAGGTAATAATGCACTGTGGGAAAAATAATTTCTTTTGTTTATTTTAAACAACCATTTCATCAGACGCCTCCTACTTCTTTTATTGTGGGAGATAAAAATTCCATAGCACCCTTTTCTCCCCCATTCATGATTTCATAGATCTCTATTGTATTCCCACATCAAACATCATTTTTCAACTGAATGTCCCTATTCTATTTAGCCCTTCCTTGAGCACAAGCCAGCTCCTTGTTCCAATCACTCTCCTTGCCTTTCTTCAGTTTTACTTCATGTCTTTTTTGAAGAATACAATAAAACCCCTTTCTAGTCCCAGCAGAAGCCTGAATAAATATAAGGGCCTATTGATAACCAAAAATAATTCTTTCCCTGCATGGCCACCAAAGTTCTTCACAGTAACAGCTGCTAACATTTACAGTTTGGAGAGTTTTAATTACTCTGAGGCAGGGGCCAAATGAAGGCACTCAGGTAGTCCAGCCTCCATCCTTTCCTGAAGCCTTGAGCATTAAATGCCTGCAGTGCAGTGTTGTGGGGTATTTGGGATTGTTTAAATAAAAGCAAACTAGCTGTTATTTAAGGACAGAACACCTGCCATACTCACCACATCAGGTAGGATGTAAAAATTAGGAAAATTATGATGAAGAACCCTCCAGCTGATACTCCATATACCCATATCTTCAGTTTACCATCTGTTGGAAGACAAGGAAAAAGGACAGAGGAAGAAGAGGAGAGAATAAAAAACTTTTTTCTAAAATACACAAAGTTTTAAGAGATCAATTCAAGAAAAATTAGTAGCATCACTGATGGGGAACACAGCAGGGACTAGCTATAATTAATAAACCCCATATTTTTGATAGGAAGATTTCTGAAATAATCTTTAATTTTAAAGACAAAACCTTAATGGAAAGGGGCAGAGGCACAGGATAATTGGGATACATTCCCTCCAAATCCCAGTGGCTGCTCTGGCAGAGGCAGTTCAATGCTGAGCTGACCCAGACAGACACAGGCAACACCTGATGTGTTTAGCTGAGGGCTGAGAAGGGATGGGATTGTTCTCTATAAATACTTGGGGGTCACTTGGGGTAAACACCAGCAAGCGCAAGTGGAAAAGCTGCTTAGAACTGGGAAACACTTGGGCAACAAATAGGAATAAATTCAGCTTAGAATAAAAACAAGAATAGGCTTGGTAACAGTAAGAGGGATAAAGCTGGAAAGAGCTTTCTGGTTGGGCCCAGAGCAGCAGACAAAAGTGGCTTTAAGACAAGGTAAGGCTGAGGATTGGGCTCTTTGGGCTGCAGTGAGCCAGGAGCCCTGCAGGAACCCCTCCATGCACACGTGGGCTTGGGTCTGTTCAAACATTCCCTTGTCTCAGAACACCTCACTGGGACAGCTCCTTAATTACAAGCTTTGCATTAATAATAACAGCAATTTTGGAAAGATCAATATTTCTGTTCCTGGCTCTGTTTCTGGCTGCACAGCTTTCCTTGCAGGGAGCAGCTTTGGTGCTTTGCCACAGCAGCAGTCTGAGCTGATTCACATCAGCAGAGCTGCAAATACACACTGCAGGCAGGAACAGGAACCTGTGCTGTGCCCCAGACACGGTTTGACAGAGGCCATTTCAAATCCAGTCAAGTGAGAGGGACAATCACTGAGCCTGGTTTTCATTTTATGTTTGAATGACAAATTTTTTCATAGGGAAGCACATTTAATCAAATCCCATTCTTTCTCATTTTTCTTCCAGACTTTGGGGAAAGGCTGAGTACCTCTCACAGATTTGTTTTGCTCCTCAAAACACTTGCAGGCTATCTCCCATGAGAGAAGAGCTATGTTCATCAGGACTGGCCTGGTTTGAGTTCTTTTGCTGAAACCTAGGTATGAAATTTGTTGCCCTCTCACCTGGAGATGGCCAAGAAATTCTTAGCAATCCTGCAAAGGGACTGTCACAGCCCCATAAAGGCATCACAGCATGTCTGCTGTGAAGGCAGCTCTGCTCTCCATCCCCAGCAGAAAGGCACTGGACCATGTCACCTGACAATTTAAACAATGCTATTTAAATTGCCTCTCAAGTCAAAGAAAAGTTTCTGTACCTGAACTCTGGCCTCTCAGAGTGCAGTTAAGAGAGGAAAAACACAGCCTGATTTGAAATCAGTTCTGTGCACTCCTGTAGAGCGTTTACAGAAGAACAAAAACATCAGCCTCATTTAATCAAAATAAAATTAGTGTTCCAAACTGTAAATGGAAAGGGAAACCACAGATATGCTGGAGAAGGCACAGGTACTTTGATTGACCAACACAATGTCAAGGACTGGTGTGCTGCAGGGTGTTAAATGCCATCCATACAGGCAGCTCTCACCACAGACCTGCTTTCAACAGCAGAATGGGGAGGTAGCAGTGGTTTCCTGGCTCAGCCAGCAGTAACCACTGCAAATCCCCAGGCTAGTGAGCCTGAGAGCCTCTCTGAGAGCAGCAATTACACATTTACTCCCTGAGAGGGGAGGGTTTTGAAGAGCACTAGCCTTGAGCTGGGGTCTGAGGAGCACACACAGACTGAAGAGTTAACTGCAGGATGCCACAGGGTGGTGACACACTCAGCACACACGGGGCACCTTTATTCCCTTCCCATATATTGTTTCTATAACATTTCTGCTGTAAATTAGGCAACACCCTGTTCTGTAAAAGTGCCTCAGTCTCTGTTTCTGTTGCAGACCCTGGGTGAGAGCTGGCTCACAGGTGCAGCACTGAGGTAAAGCCCTCCAGAAGCTTTTAGGGCTGCAGACTCAAATGCTGATTTAAAAAGGGAGTACTGCAGCACCTACCTACACCTCCCTCCCTTTTTCTAACCCCATAAAGGTACCAGGCAAAGAGATGATACTCAAGTAAGACAGCCCACAGAGAGGCAGGGGTGTTGACAAAAGGGCAATTAACCCCACACCTGTGACTCAAACTGCAGGTGAACTGTGTGGGTGAACTGGATGAAGGGCTTGATCGAAAAGCAGCCAACTTTAAAAGGCTTTGGACTGAGCTCTGTGAGCCCAGAGACTGTCAACGCAAAGGTTAACCACTGTCTGCAAATCAAATATGTAAATGTAACATTCAAAGTGTGATCACATATATCAGACAGAATTATGGCTCCCTGAACCCCCTAACAGAACCTTTCTCTACATGTTTTCTAAAGTCTCGTGTTCATTAGGAACTCATTGCAAACAAATGCAATGTCAGGTACCTGAAGAGGGGGAGGAACTGCACTGCCAGTGTTTTATAACACGAGGAGAACAGATGCATTTCAGTAAAACCTGATGTGCCTGACACATTTGCTTCCCATTTTTAAAGTCCTATTTGCATTTCAGAAAATTGTTTTGAATTAATTCATCTTCAAAACTACAATCAAAATGGGAACCAGGTATTAGAGCAATGGACCAGTCTGGGCACATGCAGTCTGTGGTTCCAGCTGGGAAGGATTTTGTGCTATGGATGTCAAAGATCACCTGGGATGAGCTGCTTGGGCACAACAGTTTGTTTGCATTCGTGGGACACTTCAAATGTTGTAACTTCAACCCTCAAGACTAAACTGTACACTTTCTACCCTATTCTTTTCATATGTTTTTGAAATATGGCAAGAAACAACCAATGTTTTCTTTAATGAAATCTTAAGCACTTTCTGCTCTGAAATTTCTGAAGCACTAGTGATCAATATCTTTCCTAGGCCAAACATATTACTTCCACAAACATCATCAGATAGCAGTTCTAAACATGCCCCCAAATCACACACGAGCATACTTCTGCACAATATTATTGCTTCATTCTGTCTTTGCTATCTCCCAACAGAAGAGATTGTGATTCCTCTCTACAGGCACAAAGGCATGAAAGACAGCACACGAGCTGGAAACTGGGAGGTCGCTGTGCAGCTCCCAGACACAATCTCTGATGCTATCATCTACAAAGCTTGTACCTTTCTTCTACAGAAACCTTCTAAAGACAATCTATTCCATTCATATTTAAGTTTTTCACCTGGATTAAAAGGTTGAATAGACCATCCTTTGAAAATGTCATGCATTTTGGAGTTGACAGGTTTATTTTTTCCGGCGATGGTCTTAACATCAGCTTTCTTATCTTCTAAACCTGGTACCTTCACGCAGTAATCCAGGAGCCCATTTGATCTCATTACTTCTGTGTATCCCCGCTCACAGCCACACACTCCTCCCTGGCAGATAAAAGGGAATTCAGCATTAAACCAAGCACTGCCCCCTCACAGAACAGTGCACACTGCAGGGAAAGCTTGAACCAACTGCAAGGTATAACCTGCATGTGCAAATTCACCATCACCAAACCAAACCAAACCAGCCAGGAAATGGTACCTGCAAGCCCATTTCAGTTCAAAAAAACACAAATATATTTGGGGAATTGGTTGAAAAAGAGTCAGAAATTACAGAGAAGTCCAACATATAAACATTTTCATCCCAACAGGCTTACAACAGGAATCTGTGGCAAACTCCTCTTGCAAGTACCAATTTTCCCCCTGACTCTGCTGGGCAATAGAACAGACAAACCAAAACCAATCCTCCTGCAGACCCAAACCCTCCTCACATGTTTCCACTCCAGTATTTCACAGAGCTATCTGAAATGAAGCTTTCTTATAACCAAATATCCATTACCCTGCATCAGACTAAACAAGCAGTTTCTTCAAGAGGCTTTTTTGAAGTCTGTGGTTTGCTAAATACATACTCAGTTTTCTGGATTTCTATTTTAAAATGGCTTTTTAATATTGTTTTCCTTTGAAAACTATATTAATTGTTAATGCTAATTGTTAGGTATAAGACAATGCTAATTGTCTTATACCTATAATGCCTGTTCTGAGGGTCTGATACTCTTGATCCAAACAGGTGATTGATGCTCCTTTATCTCCTCTTTAACAAAAGTTTTAAACAGTCCATTTTCTAAAGAGCAGTACAACAGCACTCAATTAAAATTAAACTAAGAGGTTTAATTTTAAAATTGAAACCAAAACCTCTCCACAGAACAAACCCAAACTTGCAATACCACATCGTTTGTGCAGGTTCATGCTTTTCTTTCAGGATGAAATTCCCACAACATCCTCGAGGTGGTACCACGGACAAACTAAACAATTTTCCAAGTCCCGGAATGCAATCTAAGATGCAATCTGATTAAATCTTGCAGAGTTAATTTCCCAGCCGTGTTCTGCAGCGAGCAGTTACCTGTGTGCAGTAGGAGAAGGGTTTTCTGCACGGCGGGCTGCAGTGCCGGACCTCGGCAGGTTTTGTCCGAAGAGGACACCCTCCTGCAAAAGAAAACACTGAGTGCCTTCAAGGGCAGGTTTCAAAATGTTTTTGTCTTATATCACTACAGTGTAAGAAGTGCTTGCCTGCTTATTTTATATAGTTAAATACTAGTCTATTAAGCACATTAACATAATATCTGTAGGCATCGCATTAATTAACTTGCCTTAACAAGGCAGGGAATTATTATCATACCCATCTTGTTAATGGAGAACAGAGATATACAGATTTAAGCAATTTGCCATTGGCCACATAGGAAGTTGGGGACAGAATCCAGAATTAGATGCAGATCTTCTGTGTCCTCATTAATGGCTTATCTACATAAAAAGACATAATCCACATAACGCCCTTGCCCATCCTCACTTGGGAAAGCCTGTGCTTCTATAGGAATAAAAACATGTTAATGAGTTCTTAAATACTTGGCAACCTTTGCACATAAGACTTTTGTTATTATCCTAACTAGTCATTATAAATAGAACTAGACATGAACATCTGCGTTTTCCTTTCCACTCTCTCCTCTCATTTACCCTGTGCATATTGAAAGAGATCCCATGGACATGCATCCCTACTGCCTTTGTCAATCTCACAGAGCTTCAAAGTTCTGACCATGAATTCCCCTGTTCATCTTTCACAAGCAGAATTTGTAGGTCACAGCAACAGCAGGAATCTCACAGTTTGAGTGATTTGAGACTCCTGTGTTTTGAAAAGAAGAGGAGGTATAGAAGATGGGGTCTCTACCACGTGTGTGATGTTCTCTTCTGCTCTTCACAGCCACAGGAAGATTGAACTGAGGGCTATGCAAGCCCTTCAGTATGTGTGCACTCATTTCTTCCCATGACCAGGCAGACAGCAAGGGCAATTAGCCCAAATACTCCTGTGCAATATGTGTGTGATGCTGAGCTGACAGCAAGGCTGGTGAGCTCCCACCCGCCTTCCCTACACATAAAAATCCAAACTGAAATTCTGTAAGTGCGAAGAAGGATGCCCAACTCCCTCTGAGCAACAGATTCAGAAGCAGAAAAGCCTCTGTGGAGACCTTCCACTCACAAGTGTGCGAGGCCATGAGGGGACATACCTGTGACATTGATTCCGTCCGAGCGCTGGCACCACACCGTGCGCACGTTGTCCCGCCAAGGGCTGCTCTGCCACAGGTAGTCGTAACACTTCCCTCCTGCAACACCAACACCAGTTACTCCTCACCTTGCAGCCAGCCCAGGACAAACTCCTGGTGGGCAGGGAGCAGAGCTGTGGCCAGCTACCTGAGCAGGGCCGTGTCTCCACCTCCTGTCCCGAGCAGCTCTCCCGGCTCTCTGCAGCCTGCACCATGAAGGCCCTGGATCGAGACTGGCGCCCGGCGGGCTCAAAGCTCCTGCCACTGATGCAGGTGAGCTCACAGGAGCTCCACTCTGACCACTCTGTCAGGTGGCAGTCGCCTGCACATTGAAACAAGAAATCACAGGTTTTCAAAAAGAATTAGCCTTGAAGGGGAAGGATAAGCATAAGGCTAACCTAAGCATACAGCAGCTTTAATATCCCTAGGATGTCTCTCTGTAGTAAACAATATTTGGATTTTCTGCTTCATGGCGTATCTCATTTTCTCAAAAAACAAAGGAAGACTTTCTTAGATGGTCTAGAAACAGCAGACTGAGCATTTATCTGATCTGCTGAAGCACAGATTTGTGCTACAAGGCCTGACAGTACTCAGAACTATAGGAGCATGTCCACCTCAGCCAGCTACCACAGGCAGAAAATTCACTGTGACCTTCCAAAGCCTTACCTGGGCAAGGCACAGAGCAGGGTAACTGCAGCACACTTTCTTTTGATGGTAGCTCACCACATAATGCATTTTCTACTGGTTTGGATGTAGCAGAAACTGATGCATCATGCACTACACACGTGAGGTTGCGGACTTGCAATCCATCTCCACACTGTCCACCCTAGGGGATGGTGAAAGGGAACAGAGGCACACATCAGTGAAATTAGCAAATGACAGAAGAAACACAGTTGTTTCTATATGAAAAGTCTTCAAAGATACAAATTTGGTCTGCAACAATATCCCCAGTTAAGAGAAGACAGATGGAGATCTCCTCTGCACACCTCTCCACACAAGGAGGCAGGGGCAGGGCCACACAGGAAAGTGTGTAATTATCAAAGGTGTGGAAGATGATACATTCATAAAGGATTAATACCATCTTTGAGGTCTGCCCTTCATGCCTTTTATTCAAATTAATGAATTTACTGATTCTTAATTAGTGCCAAATTAGATGAGCACAGACATTTTGGGCTTCTCTTAAGAAGCCAAGAGCAGGGCTTGCCCATAAGGAACAGACATTTCTTCCACCCTCTTTTGATGATACAGCCCAAGAAGAGCACTCATATGATTTAAACACAGCAAAAGTCCTCACTGCACTGTGGGCTGTCTGTGTCACGTTCTAAAGGCAGTGACCAGATCTGGAGCAGAGATCACCAATTCACATCACACACTCTACCAAAACACCAACCCATCAGCACTAAACCCCATTTGAACTAGAAAAAGGAGGCGCCATCTGGGCTACTCCATGCTCATCATCCCGGTCCTGAAATACCCTGGCATACACCCAACTACTGAAGAGAACATCCTTTAGTGGAAAATCAATATTCCTGGGCTAAAGTTATGATCAAGGGCTGAGGATGCTCGGAGAGATGAAGCACTGAGGCTATTTCTAGAGAGTGGAATTGTTTCATTCCCATCAGATGAAGAGCTGTGGTGCTGTTGAGGTGCCTCATGTCTGCATGATGCCTTATGAATGCGCGCCTGAAGCCTCGTGGAAATGGCACTTGAGAAAAATTCGGTAAACAAAACTCAAGAAGAAGGAAGAAACATTGCCTTTATATAACCAAGGGAAATGCTCCTTTGGATTTCTTGGCAGTGGATTCTTTTAAAATAATGGACTTCATCTGCAGAACAGAATGGCTCCTACTGAGTGCATTCATCCAGCAGCAGGATTGCTAGCAGGAATCTCAAGAACGCCTCTCCTGCACACACCTGGCAGCTTTTGCATTCCCTCCCTCCTTCCTGCTGCAGATCCACAACAAAAAAACCCCATAACTAGCTGGATTTAGAGCAGCTGCTAATCTAAAACATCTTAAAGAAGTATTAGTGTAGATTTACTGTATGCAGCCAGATTCCAGGTTTCTAACAGTGTTTCACTTTAGTCAGTGTGTAACTTACTGTTCTAAATTACTGTTTCACTGCAGAAACTTGTGTTGTGGTCTGAGATTAATGGTGTGTGAAAAACTCATGCAGCTGTCCACTGGGTTAAAGTGCTTAGAAATGGCTGGTGGGAACAGAAGATGAAGGGAGGATATTCTTGGGGGAAATGGGCACTAATCAAACTGCAGTATCTCCAGTTTGACGTGACTGAAAGAATGAAGAAGAGTTTTCAAAAATATACTTCTTCTACAACAGTATATAATTATTTATATACACATCAATATATAAATAATAACAATAATACTGAGAAATAAATAGGTCAAAACAATATTTTTTTTCAGTACAACAATTTCCAATATAAAAGGCCACAGGCAACACTCTCCATTTTTCTATCCCACTATATTGGAGCTTCATTCATATTTTCTAATGTCTAGAATTAAAAAAAAAACCACAAAACCCAAACCTATGAATTCTCAAAATAATCCCAAAGAGAAAGATTTGCTTTTTAACAGTGGCTCCCACTTGCTTTTTTTCTTTCAAGACCAGAAATGGGTTTTTTACAATCAACCGAACACACTCAAAATGTCACCCTGTCACTTACAGTAGGAGATTCTTTTTGGTATATCTGAAAAGGTCTTAAGCAATGCAGGAGCACTGCATTGACTTCCTCATCATCTTCAAAATTATTCATGTCCCCAAAATTATACATTTGAAGATCTAATCAACAAGTGTGGAACCAGAGGAAGTTTGTGCCAGAAATGGCACACTGAGGATGCAGGGAATGGCTGCTAATCAGAGGAGAGCTGCCAAGGAAACCATCACATATTCAATTCAGGGATCAATTCCCTGTTGTAAATGCTCTTCTCTGGAAGGTGTGATCCTCTGAGGTTTGCCTAGGACCAGGATTTGCCTGTTGTGTCCTTGCTGGAAATATGTGGGAATTTGACTTCCACAAGGGATTCCTGCCATTTGTCTGCAAAAACTCCTATGCTGCCCCTACTGAGAACACAGAACCCATGCTGGGTTTCCTAAAAACAGGATTTATGTGCCCCTCCACCAGCACCTGCAGGGAGCCTCCACCTCTCACCCTGATGGGAAAATGAGGAGAAGGTTTACACCTCCTGTGTTGGACAGTCAGGAACCTCTGCAGTTCAGTAACACCCTAAGGTAAGGCAGCATCTCCATGAGCTTTCTCTCCATCACATCTGATGCTTCCCACACAGAACACCCTAACAAGACAGGAGGTAACAGCCCTAATGAGATGCTTCACCCAGATGTGCCTTGAAGAAAAGTTTTCCCTTTTTGGCTTTTACTGGGGTTCATGTGTTCACAATTATTTTAGGTAAAGAGTTGATTGGGCAATACTTTCACAGGTTGATGAGCGTTTAATCAGGTAAAAGTCTCTCTAATGAGGGAGTGTTGTGTGATCACATTTAAGGGAGTGCTTTTAAAACCATTAGAAAGGAAAGGTTCTTAGTCTTTTTAGGAATGTCAGCCAGCTCGTGTTTGTTAATGCCTGGCTATTCCACTTATATTCCCTTAATGGAAAAAATAATGAACAGTGTCAGACACTGCTAATTTTTACCCCTTTTTTGAGCTAATCAGAGTAAACCACTTCAACTCTAGGAGGAAAATTATAAATGTCCTGTAACCCTTTAAAATTGGATGTACTGACCAGTTCCTAAGTTCTGCATCCCTCTGAATGCAGGGGAAATGCCCCATGCTGCCACAGGTGTGCCTGGGATGTGCAATAACATACTGATTTCCATACTGTGACAATCAGCAACACAGAACGCTTAGCAGGCTCTATTCCTACCCACAAAGACACCTCTAATTATTCACATGAAGTCAATTTAGCATAAAATAGTCCTCCTACAACTAGGAATTGCAGTCTCAGTTATAATACAAGGAAAAAATATTTTAGCCTTATAATTAATTGTCCCGTTTCTATTATTACAGGAAGACACTTTCACACCATGCATTACGGCTTTACCATAGGATGCTTTACCTTATTTCACAAAGCATCCTTGAAAACAGGAATTCTGAAAGCTTTCTTTAGAGCACAGGCTTAAGCCTCTTTTTGGGTAAAGCACAGGAATAAATCACCCTGTATTTATGAACTACATTTAATTCCTAAGCACCTCATTAAAGAGAAGTGAACATGAATAGAATGGCTTCTCTCCAAAACAAAGCAAAGGGGAGAGAAACTGCTCTGTGGTAATTGAAGGAGAGAAGCAGGCTCTAACTCACTGAATGCAGGGATGGTATCTGGGTTACAGAACGCTGTGATTACTGGCTCTGAGCTGGAATTTAGCTGGGTTTGGGATGGGCACAATTTAATCTGCACAATGTGTTATTTATCTGGAGTAAGCCACGGCCTTAATTCAGCTTCCCTACTAATTTTTTTATCAGCTATGCCAGCTCCTATGGTTGAAAGTCTCTTCCCTGATGCTTAACAGAATCTGCTTATGTTAGCTTGACAAAATACCAGCTGATGCTATCATTTTGTTCTATTTATGTTATACATATGTTTTATACATTTTATACATGCTGAGTACAGCACATATAAGCACACATTCACATCAGTAGTTACAGTGAGTTGTTGATTAGAGAAAATATAAATATACTTCTGTTTCTCTGATCTTGGACTGTCACAATCCAGATTTCATTTGTGAAAACCTGAAAAAATTCTGGGTATTTATTGTGCTACTCACATATTCACTTCACATCCCTCCACCACTGAGAAACCACGTGGGTATTCAAGGCACTGGCAGAGCAGAAATCACAAGGGATGTGTGCCTTTATGTGCATTATTGGCTTCAATCTCCTACACAAGATAATGTGGAGAAGCAGCCACAGATCTGGCCCAGGTCCTGTCCCCTGGGACCAGACAGGGCTCGTTTCCACCACACTTCTCCAGCCTCCATCTCACCAAAGCCAGATTTAAGCAGGCTGATAAACCTCACTGAGAAAGATTCACCTCTGCTTAAACTGGGTTACCAGTTTTAATATTGGAAATGTGATCTAACAGATAAGGAGAGAAGAAAAAGCATGGAGGGGAAGAAAAAGTCAATTCAAGCTTGATGGAAGTCATTGCCAGTGAAAAAATGATGACCCCAGTGCTGAGCAAAGGTGGCAGGCATAGGGACAGCACATGGGAACTGAATCCAGACATTTTTAGATCATTAAAAAGATAGCCAGGGTAAGGAGAAAGAGAAACCAGCCCTTCACACAATAACTCACACTATTGTACTGGAGACCTAGGGGGAAAGACCTGCTGTACAGTCCTTCAAAAAAAAAGGAAATAAAAAAAGATTAAAAAAGGCTAAGCTGTCTTGATATCTAGTGTATCTATTTTCTTGTTAGAGATATTTTATGTAATTAAATTATAGGTCACCATGACTATGCCCAGTCGAACACATTAACTCCATAAATCCCCTACAGTAATTCCATAAGCTTACAGTACTTCAACCCACATCACCTCTCACGAATGGCTGCTGATGGTTGGAAGTTGAGGGGCAGGGGTTCACCACTCCTGAACTTCCCCCTGTTCCCTGCAGACCTCCACCAGCCACAGCCACACCTTGAGCCCACGACCAGCAATTAATCCCACAAAGTGACGATGGATTTTGCTGTTGACCCCGGGCAGGGGGAAGCTGTGGAGAAATTCCTACCTGGAGCGTGCAGGGAGACCAGGGCCCCAGCAGCCAGCTGTAGCAGGGCTTCACTGGGCAGCTCCTGTGCTGGGTGAGCTGCTCCGGGCAGGGCCTGCCCTCGCCCGCCGCCCGCAGCACCACCGAGCGCCCACGCACCATCTGGCCTAGGACAGACAGCACACAGCCAGCACAGACACAGCCACGGAGGGAAAGGAGGAAAGAAAGACAGATTTTGTAATTTATCAGCATTCCTGGTTCATTTCCCAGTGCTAAAATCTGTTAAAAAAGCAATTAATTGGGAAGACTGTTTGGATAATAGGGATGCGATTGCTAAGTCTAAGAAATGCGGTCGCTGGTATTTTCAAGCACACTTTTTAAACATGGTTTTGTATGTTTTCCAAATATAGTATTTGTTTATGCAACACATTTAAATACTTGACTAGATGCTGATTATCAAATATGACAGGAAAATAATTCCTATGGCAGCAGCATTTCTACCATTACACATTCAATATGTTTTCAGAGATTTTTAACAAATGAAATTTTCTTTTTATGAGCAATTATGTGGACCTAATTTGAAAACTGCAAACACTGTAGTGGCTATTACCGTCCATAACCACTTCTACCATTTCCATTAAAAAACCTATTTATTATTGGTGAAAACTTCTTCAGCCACTGAATGGAAAAAGCAATTATGGTACTACTTTTGAACTAATAAAACTGAATATATTCATTAAACTCACAGCAATTCCATTTCTGCCTCCTTTGCTGTCCATTTATGTCCAGGAATGTTTTCACTCAAAATGTTTCAATTAGAATTCCATCTCCAATTAAAAAGAAAGTGGAAAAGAAAAAGCCCTTATGCAGTGGGATGCAGAAGATTGTGCTGGAGATAAAATTTCTGCCCTGTCTTTCAATATGTGTGGGTTTGAGTTAAAAAACTGAAAGGTCTGGGTAGTAAGGGCAGACAAATACAACAAGGCAGAGGCGAGTGGTAATTGCTAAGCCAGTGCAAAGAAAGAGATAAGGTGCTGTGGTGGAGCTCTCCCTTTTGGATCACAGCCCTTCAGCTGCTTTTGTGACCAGAGGGGCGTCTGGAGGGGGAGCAAACACCCTGCAAAACAGGGAGGCTGCAATACCCAGCCAGATCCTTCTCCCAGCTATTTATGCACACGATTTTTAATTAAGGACACTGCAGGTGTAAGGCACATCTCTGATATCTGTCATCGTGACTATCCACAGAGCAAAACATTTTAGCAAATAAAAATGAAAAGCGGACACACTTGGAAAAGGCACTGATAGATACCTTAGCAAGCTCTCTTACCTTTATTCCCTTGCTCTGACCCATTGAATTCTGGTTTTAAACACATTAAAACCAATTTCAAGACTTTTCCTTTTCCAGTTTTAATCCCCCAGACCTGGGGAGTTTGTAACAGAAGTGAGGATAAAAGCTGTTACCCACATGACTGTGCATTCAGCCATCACATCATCAGATACATTAGGAGGTGGAAAAAATCCTACCAGCTGAGAGGAAAGGACGGAGGGAAGGAAAAAGGAAAGGAGAAGGAGAAGGATGGGAGAGGAAAGGAGAGGAAAAACAGAAAAAGAAAAGGGAAGGGGAAAGGGAAAACTCCTGTTGCTCCCTGGGCAATCAGAGCAAGGGAAGAGGAATCTCCCAGCTTGCTGTTGGATGAACACCCCAACAGCTCTCCCCAGCCCAACTGGCCAAAATTAGCTGTTCCCTCCTCTTCAGGAGAGATCAAAATTGCCAAATTAGTCTAAATGCTGAATGCTGAGCGTTGGTGAGCAATGGAAAAGGCTCTTTGTGGGAAGAAGCCTGTGGCTTCAGGGCTCTGGGGCACCCTGCCAGGCACCAGCTCCCTGCATGGAGCTGAGGAAAAGGAGGTCTCCTCAGGGTAAAAGATCCAATTTCATTAGGAAGGACCTGAAAGCCTGAAGCATTCATCAAGCTATTTTAATTAACTAAATAATTTCCTTTCGTACACTCTGTTTAACATGTTTCTAGCAATATGTAAATGGGAAGATCATTGAACAGAAAGAGGAATTAACAACTTTTCTTTCCATTTTTGTTTCCTACAGTTGGTTATCCAAACTGCTGAAACTTACTACAGTCCCAGAGGTCAGCCTTGACTCAGTCTATCACTTTCTTTTAACACTGTGAATGAATAACTGAAGAAAGAAATTTCATTGAAACCTTTCTTTGCACAATGACTGCAGTGAGTTTCTTAAGGCTCTATTTTTTTTTTTTACTCCAAAAACATTATCTAGGTGCTCAATTACCACTCAAGTAGCAGAAAAACTCCATCTTTTAATTTTTAAATGCCTTATCTTTTGCTGCCTATTCAGTACAGAATCTTACTGCATCTGAAATTAATTTGTTTCCAATACAAGCTCTAGAAGAGTTGAAGCAATCCTACTTATTTCTTTAATTTTTCTTTGATTTTTTCTCTAATTTTCCAATGAATTTGCCACATCTCTGATTCCTCTGCTCTGCAATGTTATGTGATACAAAAGTGTGCTGAAATCAAAAATAAACATTTTTCTTCATATCCTCAAATTAGTTTTGAAAAGGAAAAAACAAAAGAGGCCAGTCTTGTTAATGCTGGTCACTTAAAATTCTGTTTTGTGTTGGCGGCAAGAATTGCATCTCAGGAACATGGGATTATATTTTCAAATCAGAAGATTTTTTTTTACATCCCTAAAAAAATTCTTGCCATTACTTGCACTTTATCTCCACAAAGTGATGTGCCACAGCTGAAACCAAGAAGATTCAAATTCCTGTTGCATTTCATCCCAGTCCCAATGACCAACATGTTGCAGCCAGTTCAGTGAGTTTGAGCAGAGCACATAAAACACAGCTCTATCAAGGAACCACAAGATCAGAGCAAGGACCAAGTTACTGAAATAAGCCTTGGAGATCAGATTAGGTCCAGTCACAAGCAGGTGGGGCAGGTGATAAATAGGGCTTTTCATCCCCTTCCCACTGCCAGGCCTCCAGCAGCACTGAGGCATCCCCAGCAACATCTCCCACTGCCAGACTGGAGCTTGCTGAGTTTGAGTAGCAGGGGAGAAAGCATCACAAGGAGTTCTTCTTCAGAAGGCAACACCAAAAATATTTTCCCGAATTGGTGATGATCCAGGGAAGAATACGACAAGCAAATTTTTCATTGTGTGCATCCTTGTGACCCTTCACTTCAATCCCACAGGTCTCTGGTGCTGGGATTCACATCTCTGCAGCCTGCTATGGTCCCTGGGGGTCTGAGGAGTGAGTGAGGAACAGCAAAATGGTAAATCCTGTAATTTATCAGATAAAGTCAGCTTTGGAAGTGGCAAAGCACAGCTGTAGGTGGTTTTATAGTTTAGCAGTCCTGTTGGAGACCTTGAGAGAAGCCATGTGGGACTGGAAAATGGCTGTGTAGAAAGATTCAGCATCCTCATATACTCATTTCCCTTAACAAAGGAAATTTAATTTGCTGGGGATTATCCTTACCAAACATCTTTCCAGTAATTTTGGTTCAGGTCAGGGAAGCATCATCCATTAAAGCAGTTCCATACATCTTTTCATAGTTGTACAGCAACTGATATAAGGAACCTTATATATAACCCAGTGTCAGCCTAAAGCCCTATCCAGTATCCTGAGCAGATGCTGCCCAAACTACAGCTGCAACAGGAAAACATCAGTTACACATCTCCACAGGCTCAGCATAGGCAGGAAAGAGAGATCTGCTTTATTCATCATCATTCATAAAAATCAATATATTAGCCTTTGGCTGCTGTGCACCACAGCTGTGTTAGATGCCAGCACCACATGCACAGCAGCACCACTTCATGTTTAAATGCATTATTCCATTAAATAACACCTGAGTAAAGGTACCGCCCATTAAAATATATCACATCAAACTGTTACTGGAAAAAAACAGAATAAAAATGTTAGCAACAATCCTTAAGTAAAAAAACAGGTGAAAAATACACATCCAGCAACAGTAAATTTTGACCTGAATTATATTTAAATTATGTTTCTCTTTGAAGTCCTTTATGGTGCTTCTGCACGCTCTCCAAAAAAAGCCAGAAACACAAAATATTGTTGTGAGCTGACCCAGCAATGCTGCATTCCACTTGCTGTGAATTATTTCTGCACACCCAGCACCTCAGCCCTGCATTTTAGCTGTACCAAACACTGGGCAATTACTGGCAAAGGGAAGCAGTTATGAGTGTTTACTACAGCCAATTCCCACAGCTCATTTGTTGTCATCCTTTGTTTTTTCCTATCTAATTTAAGGCTCCATCCTACTCCCACAAATGCCCTTGAGAAACCCAGGGTGACTTCAAAGGTGTCACAGTCCATGACCCTTCAGGCTGGAAACCCTTGCTGTGCTCCTCTGAGTGCACAAGTAAGATCTTCTCTATTATTGTTATCATCCAGGAGTATTTACAGCCCAGTGGCATTCAGTGAAGCAGCTGGAGTGACATTGTCTGTGCTGCTGGAACCACAGCACCAGGAGTGCACAAGTAAAATCTTCTCTGCTATTGTCATCATCCAGGAGTATTTACAGCCCAGTGGCACACAGTGAAGCAGCTGGAGTGACACTGTCTGTGCTGCTGGAACCTCTCAAGGGCCACTGCCACAGGACTGGTGCCAAGGTCACTCCACCAGGGATGTTTTGTCCAGAGCAGCTCCACGCTTCTGAATTGATACAGCAAAAGTCAGATCAGGACTGAGGCTGCAGGAAAATAAAATGTGCTCGCAATAACCTGGATACAGAGCACTTCCATTTCACTGATGCTCCTGCTTTGGCATGAGGTTCAAAAGACCCTTGGATCCCTGCAAAGTTGTTCAAGTGGTAGAGAAGGACTGAGCAAAACTTGGCTTCTTCATGACACGGTTTGTAAGACAGTTTTCCCGGCTGCTTAGCTGCTGTAGGCTCACAGAGGAGTATCTCCAGGTTTTAAATCCAAGCTAAACAACAGCAGTAGTACAGTGGCCTGTACAAGACAGCTCTCACCAGCAGCATGGCAGGGTTATGGTCTTTGAGGATCAGGGATGATCCATAAACCAGGCTGAGCTTGGGCTTGACTGTGTGGTTCAGGCAGCCTCAATGAGGTTTGGCACCCAAAGCCAGGACACCCACTGGAAAGTCTCTTTCAGCAAGGCACAAATGTTTCCAGCTTTCCTCTGATTTAGGACATGAAGTAACTCCTTGTACTCATTGGCAGCTCTTTAACCAGTCTTTGAAATTTGCACAAGCATTTCAGGATCAGGGGCTGAATACAAGACACATCTTCACTTGAGTACCTCCTTTTGCAAACTATGCAATATAAGAGCTCAGGATGAAAAAGCCTTCAGGTACTATATAGGGTGAGCTGCTCCTTGAGCATGCTAAAAGCCAGAAAAACATTGCAACTTGCTTTTGTACCGTATTCTGTTTAACTTAGTAAGTGATAGAACACTCAAAAAATTAAATTAAGTTTATTCAGCAACACAAGCATTAACAATCCAAAATGGATTTTAAAGGAAAAAAAAAATTTGGAATTAATAGTACTCTCAGTGTGTTGTTGTTAAAACACTGTCCATGAATTATTCATTTCTGTTAAGAAAGCACTACTTCACAAACGGGCTAAAAGCTCAGCAAAGAAAGAACAGCACTAATCCAAATATTAAGCTTTTTCTGAAACACGCTTTGATCTCTGGAATCCATCTGAAGGAATCATTTTATGGAAGTTAAGAGCTTTTTTCTTTTTGACCTTAAGTGAATTTGATTCAAATATACATTATGGCTTTTGAATCTTAAAGACCATTAGCTGTACATCTAATGCACATCAGAGGCCAGGGAAATAAAATCCCAAGCTTATTGAGAATAAAACCTTCAATGCATTTCCTCATGTCAATACTCAAAGGGTATTTTAAATCACATAAGTTGAAAAAGGTCCTAATCCTTTCACTTTTTGTATGCTGGTGAGCACTACTGGCTATAGAAAGTCTTGCTGAAGGTACTGGGGTCATGTAAGTGTTAAGGGAACTGCGGATGCAAGATGGATACAGAGACATACACTAAATGATGAAAAATAGTCTTTGTGTGTTTTCTTCAATAGATACAATTATGTTCCTAAAAATTACTTCACCAGAGAATTTGTATTTAGTTATTAATCTCTTCAGAATCTTTTAACACTTCCAAGCTCTTTGCTAGCTTTACATACTCCCCATCTCTGGGGTTAACAGTTGCTGTGACTGAATTATGAGAGTTTGAATTAATTAATAAATAATGCTCCGGACATCTGACTACTTTTTCCCTAAGGTGCATTTTTCACCTTAGAGTACTTTGAAAATAGCCTGCTTTGCCCTGAACCCACCACCTCAGGACCCTGAGAGTTTTCCAAAACCACCTCTGAAGGATTCAGGTGTGGCTCGAGGCTCTCCCTGAGCTCTGCACCCCTACTCAGGGTACCTGAGCCCACCTGGGCAGTGGGTGCTGAGCTGTGGGGGCAGGAGGGAGGCAGGGACTCACCGCCGGCGCCACACGTGTGGGAGCACTGCGACCAGGCTGACCACGGCGAGAGCTGGCAGTCCACGGCACACGGCACCACGCACCGGCTGCTTGTGGGCACGGGCTGCTCCAGGTGCAGCTGTGACAGGAAACACAGGCATCAGCTTCCCCAGGCCCCAGCCACCTCCTGCCACTGCCAGGCACCCAAGCAAGAGAAGGCAGCAGCTCTGCAGGGCACCACCATGGTGTTTATGTGGAGCTTTGCCAAGGGTGCATGGGGGATTGTGGTTTCAGTGCTGAAAAGTTTCACATCTAAGCATCCCTCAGTGTTTGGGTCTCATTCCTAGATTTCTAACAGCAGGGCACAATCCCCTCCCTTGTCCCCAGCTTTGGGATGGTGCAGGGTTGGTAGCCATGGCCCGTGTGTTGGACTCGAGGAGTGACATCACCCGCTAACACCTCTGTTTCCCAAAGCCCCCAGCACCATACAAAACCTTTTCCCCATTTATGGGGAATGTCTTAGTGTGGATCAGGAGGTCCCCATCCATCTGGAACCCCAGGGTGTGTCCCAGGCTGCTCACCTTCTGGCACAGCTGCATGCCGACCGTGGCGCCGTCGCTGCGCCGGCAGCTCAGGAGGCGGCGGCGCTCGCCCTGACCGCAGGTGGCATTGGCACCCAGCTGGCACCCGCTCCAGCCTGCAGACACAATGCAAAGGGTGCACTGCTGCAGCTCAGCTTTACAACCAGCACAGAGACATACAACCACAGAATGGCTTGGAAGGGACCCTACAGATTGTGTAGCTTCAATTCCCTGCCGTGGCAGGGACACCTTTCCCTAGACCAAGTAGCTCAAAGCCCCATCCAGGCTGGCTCTGAAGCCCTGAACTTGGGTGTTACCTTCACCCACAGCAGCACTTCCTCATGTCAGGGCATCCCACAGCCAAGAACAACCCCCCACACAAAAGAAAGTTGTTCTCAGAGCCAGGCAAGCCTCAGAGGAGACACGTTCTCTCCACAGTCCCATACCGCATCCCGTGATGACACCGCTACATCAGAGTGCACATGCTGAACACTGATAAAGGCTATCAGCTCAATCCACTTGGCACAGGTACAAGGCTCTATTGTCTGAAGTAAAATTCCACTTTGATAAAGCAGCTGGGGAAGTTTCTGAAGGGGAACTCTGGTTTAACCTGTTTTTGTCTCCAGGCAAAGCTATCCATTATTTAAAACTAAACTCTAATAGTCATGAAATAAAAGCAGTATTTCTAGTGGAAGGAAATTAATATCTTATTACGTGTCTGAAATTATGTTGGTCGGAATACAACTAAACGGAAATAAGCTTTAAAACACCATTTAAAATAAACAAAAAGCATAACAGAAGCCACTAAAATTTCCATACACCACCAATAAATAAGAAGGATGAGAAGAAAACCTATTACTTTGTGTCTTCCACCCCTGATAAACATGAACACATAAATGTTCTGCATTTCTGAAATGTGATGATAAAAAAGGCATCATCCTGCTGCCTGTGTTTCTAGGGCTTTTATTACAAACAGGCTGAGTTTATATTCATATATTTTATCTTGCTTTGTTCTCCCTTCCTACCAGCTCCCAAACTCCTCTTAGATCTTTCCTCTGTATGCCTTTCTCATTTATTTCAGCTGGTCAAAACAAAAGGAATTTTTCAGTTTTGTTTTGTTCATTTGTTTGCAAGAGAACCAACTGCTTCTAAGGTCCTAAATAATGCATTTTGCTCTGAATATCCTATGCCCACCCATATAACTCATACTGCCTTCAAAGCAGATTTCTGTTGCTATTATTGGCTTTACCAGAACCACACATATGACACTCTTTTAATTGGAATTTTGTAATTAATTATGTTGATAACCCATTGAAAATCCCATTTAGCATGCTTTATTTCCAATGTACTCGCAACAACAACTTAAATACAGAAATTGTGCATTTGTCCACTAATGTGGAAAAATGCAGGCACGTAATTAACTTTATTGAAACCAACACTGTCAAGACTTTAACTAACACCACAAGAAACAACTAAAAACACATACTAAGGGTATACTGAAAATTTGTACCTACCTGTTAGGTTGTACTGGTATTGGAAGCAATTTTGATTAAGAATGCATGGCTTCATTTGTGAAACTTCAGGGCAGGGCTTTGAACTGACAGGAGACCTCAGCACTTGTCGGGTTCGGGTTTGCATAATATTGGGGTCACACACCTGGACAGAGAAGGGATGGACAGTACAGAGAGCCCAGTAAGTCACACAGACATCACTGACCCCAGGAAACCACACAGACACCACAGACCAGGGCTGCTCACGCACATCCACGGCCACATGGAGGCAGGATACAACCCCACTCCTGTCCTTATTATACTTTGAATCACATTTCTTTTTTTTTTCATGTGCTTTTAAGTTAAGAATGCAGTATTACTAAAAGTCATCTTTAATCCACCCAGATTTGGCTATTTTGGCCCTGCTACACTATATTTTCCATGTTTTTTGATAAAGATCCTTGGGGACATTGGGACAAAGATTGCACCACTTTGCTGTGCCCTGTTTTGCACCTCCTTCCAAGACTTCCAGTAAAATGCCACAGTACTGAATAACAGAACAGGATTTTTGTCACAATTAATGCATTTTAAGTAGTATCTGATGTTACAGCAAAGCACTCATTTCAAGGAAGGACATTTGTAATTGCATATCAGTTATGATGCTGACAAGCCGAGGTGACTTTTCAGAGTATGTGATACCAAATACTGATGTCCAGCTGCCTATAAACCAGGATTTGCTTGTTTACATTTTCACAGGAATATGAACCAACTGAGGCAGGTTTTCATTTCTATTTGTGCATCACAGGCATGAAAACTGTTTGTTTTTAGCAGCCCTTGATCCTCACTCTCATAGCACTGCAGCACAGAGTGATTTTCCCACAATCCAGTAACAGGAATAGGTGAGTGGAGGTGGTCGCAGCAAACCTAATGGAAATAAATCCCTTATTAAAAGTATTCACCGCCATTTATTGAACAAGATGACCCATTTAATTCCTAACAGTTTCTCATTAGGATTGCTCAGGAATAGCAAAGAAAACAAAACAAAAAAACCCAGAACAATGCATGTAGAACCACATTTTCATAAATGCTTGGGGATTTAAAACACGATTCTTCTATGAAGTACTATAATTACAAAAAATAACTAACAGTTTAAAACCATGGGCTTATTACCATGCAACAAACAGCCTGCAAACACTGAACACTGCATGGGTGGAAGTGTGGATAATTCCTGTATTGTGAATATTAAAGGGAAATGTAATGGCCTTGCAGCATAAATCTGGATCTCAGGCTGCTGTAAACTGGATTAGCTGCACAGATGACAGCAAAACTGAACAGAATTAATATCAGAACAAATGGGAAAAAAAGTCTGGTCTGGTCTTAAAATACATTGTCAGGGCCTATTTCCTTATGTTTACACTACATGAAGGAAAATCCATTACATTTTTATTGCTGACACACACCTTGTCAAATCATTTTAAATGGTAATCTTATTTGAATACCCTTGGTCAGCTAAAATACCCAATTGTTTCTAATTATCTGAAAATTAAACCTATGCTAAGTGTTTACCAATAGTTTACTGCCTTTTTCACAACTAATCTGATTGTTCATTCTCACAACTAACACTAATAACTTAAATGATTTGCCAATAAAGCAAAATGACTAAGGAAAAAAATCAAAGCATGTATCTCAGCAGCTACTCCTAATTAATGTTTCTCTGAATTATGTTACCAAGGGGAAAAAAAAAAAATCAATGGATGCTGTGACAGAAGCTGTCTGTGCCAGCTCAGAAAGACCAGCTTTTGCTCCCTTTAAAATAAGAACCTGCAGACAGAAAATATGCCTCATTTGTAGATAAGTAAATTCTTTTAATAAAATAGTATTTTTCCCTGTCTAGCACAGCCCCTGTTGTGCTCCTTTATAGGACATTGCTGCAGCCCAGTGCTGTCACAGAGCCCCAGAGCTTTCCTGGCTGGCAGGACCATTCTCCCTCTCAGATTTCCTCCTGGTAGGCAGCAGACCAGTCTAACAGGTCAAAATCTATATGGTGTTTGCCAGGATCCAAACAAACAACTGGTTTACTGATGCTCTGAAGCCAGAATTCTCACTGTGCTGATGAGCCATGGGGCTCAGAAGCCAGAGCTGATGCAATAAGCCCCCCACTTTTACTAGTTTTGAATAATAAGGAATCTCTGTAGGAAAAGCATTCATTTAATCAAGCTGAGGACATGGGAAACATACAAAAATTCAAAGTTGGCAAACTGTAACTAATATCCTGTAATATTATTTGTTGAATTTCTCTTAACGTCAATTGAGAAGTCAATTTAGTTTTATAATTGATTTTCTGCCCTTGCTCTTTCAAGTTAACCATGTAAAAAACTGAGCCAAATATATATGGAACTGAGTAAGCAGCAGGAGGGAATGACTTGCAAAGAAAAAGATGAAAGCTGGAATTTTCAAAGGAGCAAGAGGGAGCTGAGTATCCAGCTGCCCTGAAATCTCAATGGGCTTGGGTGCACAGTTCCTGCAGGACCCCTCCAAAAACCCAGGCTGGAAAAAAAAAAAAAAAATATTTATGGCATAGCAAAGGTTGGGGAATGGATTGGCAGACTCGATGTCATTAGGAGATGTGAACAGTGAAGTAAAGAAGAGGGATTGTTGCCAGTGGAGAGATGCTGAGGGTACTAACAAGCAATGCCAAGGGGCATGTCTAGTCCTGAATGTGGATCTTAGAAAATACTGAGAGCAAAACCAATCACCATCAATGGTAAATCACAGGCTTAGAAGGCAGGACAGAAATGGCAGCCACCAATTTAGAGAAAAGGCAGCAAAAGAAAGAAATATTTCTTGAGTACCCAAAGTAAGAAATTGCTGTGGGATTAAGATTTAAGCAGGATAACAGGTTGATTCTGAATAGTCTCACCAATGAAGAAAATGACAAAACTAATTTCACTGCTCAAGTAATCTTCCACACAAAACAGTGAAGGTACATGGATCAAGGCTGGGTCTGCCCAAGGGATCCAAGTTTCTAATCACAAGCATGTATGAATCTACAGCTTCTGGGGTTTTAAATAAATAAAGCCCACTGTGATTCAGCAATGTTTTACTGAGTATCTTCATTTACAACTCCTCTCTTCCCGCTGAGTGAATGCTACACTTCCAAAGACATTATTTTACTTTCTACTGCTCTATTAGTAACTAGTGCTTTCACTGATGACAGATGAAGCTTTTAAAATTATTTTTTACATTAAGTCAGCCATTACCTTCTGTAAGGCTACTGCAACTGGTTTGTGCCCAGCATCAGCCAACATTTCCACAGTGGAAGCATAAGGAAAGGCAGGTGCCAACAACAGACGTGTTCAGGACTGGGAGTTTGACTTGTATTCCTGAAATCATCTCTTTATGCCCATGATACTTACTTTATGCCTGTGGTTATAAATCTCTTAACTGGTTTCCATAGTTGGGAAAATTTGGAATGTAACCATGGGATTGAAATGGGTGTAACAGCAAATGTTCCCTATTCTGGGAAACTGAAACCCACTTCTGACACCACCCAGACTAGGAATAAAGATCTATGGATCAAGGAAGGACAATGATCATGGGTGCCCACTGGCCATAAATAACAGGAGAGGAAACAAGTCCTAAGAAATGGAGGCAGCTGTGGTGCATGGAGGTGGAGGGTCAGAGGCCTGGAGACCTCTATGTACCTTCAAGATCAGGTGCAAATCAGTTTGGCTGATAATTTTTCCAGACTATGTTGCTCGTTCAGATTCTTTGTTGATGACTGTAAGTAATGGGATGTGTAATTCTGCCATATGCATCCTTTGGAACTGGTAAGAGGAACAGAATTAATTTTTTGATGAAAATTATAATGGGGTGCCACCTCAGGTGGCACATCAATAGCCTACAGCAGTAGGAGGTCATACACAGACAGTAGATTTCTTTATGGGTATAACTGCACTGTTCCAGCCTACTTTATAGTATTAAACCTCACCATTTCCATTATTCTTTTCCATATAGTATGAAAAAGTTGTGCTAGAGCCACAGATCCACAGGTGAGATTATATAAACCTCTAAGAAACAAAATATGCTGAAGCAATGAGAGGTCCATAAAATGTTAAGGCAGGAATAAATCAAGGTTTTTCTCAAAGGACCGTTTAGAAATTATAACAGCCATCTTGGTTCTATGGGGAAATTTCTGGCGCTATTGACTACTGCATTTTAAAATATTTCTTCTAGCCAAAGCTATTTTTTCACCATGACCACTTGTCACTACTTAAAGCTAACATAAAAAGTGAGGGACAAAAACATACACAAAGGATGCACCCAGCCTTTGCTTCAAACAATCACAGAACTGACAAAGCACAGGAAGTTTGTTCTGGAAGAGAAGGGTATAAAATAAAATAAAGCTGCAAGGTTATGAAACTAAGTTCCAGTCTAAGAGCTGTTAACATATCACACATTAATATACACTATTAGACCCTTTTTGGGATGGAATTTAAGAGCTGTTCATTGATCCAGGTTTTCATATGCATCATAATTGTACAGCACAGAGGCTGTAACCCATTACAGGGCCCTTTAAGCTGTTTAATTTATCAAGCAGCTTGTATAATGCATCCTGCACTATAAATAGCTGGCTGCATTATTCTTAACTGGCTATTCATAAGCAAACATACAACCTTAAAATAAGGTAAATGCAAAGGCAGCAACCGTATTTGACTATTTTTAACAGAGCAATGAACCATTACATTGTTCATGCCAGTGTGGATGTTTTGTAACAATTTAACAAGCCATTTACAATAACACGAGCAGTCTTTTGAAATGAAAATGCATTTGCATAAATTTTCTTTCTCAGATGCATCCAGGTACTGAAACCTTGCCTGCCTCCACACTTAAATCACTTAAAAAAGTGATTGTTAACAAAGATTAATAAAAATAAAAAAACAAATATAAAAAAATGCAGCAGTTACCCACTTTTTTGACAAAGACATACAAAAACATCCAAGTAACAAGTATGCAAAAGGAGCAGGGCATGTTCTTCCAAAAAAGCCTTGACCAGCATAATCCTCCTGCTTGATTTGAATAAATTATCTCTTGGGCTAGAAAGACATCTTTGTGCAAGCCTCACTCTTCAGTTCAGCCTTCACACTGCAGCTCCTCCGCCAAACTTACGTGCCAAACCCAGAGAAGTTGGGGAGTTTCCTCTGGAGATATCCAAAAGCTGTTTGAGGACACAGTTCTGAGGAACGTGCTCCGGGGAATCCTGCTTGAAAAGAAAGGACCAGATCACCTCCAGTGGTCCTTCCAACCTTGCCTGCTCTGTGTTCAAGCACCCGTTGTGACGGAGACTTTCATAATCCACACAGTGACTCCCAGAGTCTACAGGAGTCCACAATTTCCCTTCCAGTTGGCATTTCCAAAATGCAACAACTGCAGCTTGCATCAACAAGGAAAGTCACTGCAGAGCTGGGAGCTCTGTGTATCGCTTGGTGACACTTTTGATCCGACTTGTGGGTGTCCCACTCCCCCCGTGGATTCCAGGGAATAATAACTCAATTGTCGCGAGTCCTGAGCGCGGCACATCGCCATCGATCCGTGAGGAAAACGCTCGCTGAAATGGAGACAGCTGCTCTCACTCACCACACACGCAACCTCCTATAATTAACTAATTTCAGACCTCTTGGAATTAGCTGCTAGAAATGCCAACAGCTGAGGCAAGCAAGGAGGCCACTCCAATCCACACCGGGGGCTGCGACAGCCATCCGCCAACAGAGAGCTAACAAAATAGATTTGAGGTAATTATTTCAGGGACTTGTAGCACCACTCGCATATTAACTCTTTTTAAGAATGCTTTGATGAATTCAATTGAAGTCAATTAATTACATCTCCAAGTCAGATGAATACAAAGTCGAGGCGCCACAGGAAGTGTGTGTTATTCCATCACTGAATATGTAACAGAGATGACAGGATTTCAGTTCCCAGATTGTTTAGCTGGTCTTTGAGCAATCAAGTGATGATGTCTGACTGAACAGGCTATTGTCCTTGGAACAAATATGAAATCTCTTAAGCAAAATGCAAGTCAACCTAATTTCCTTGTGGGTTTTTGTTGGTTTTTCTTTTCCTTGTTATTTTTGGCTTTTTTGTTGTTGTTTTTAACTAGCAAGCTTCAAACTGTTATATTAAATGACTTTAAAGCTTGATATTTAAGTCACTTGGATGTTACTTAGTGACAAAGAACAAAACATTATAAGCCAAAAAAAATAATCTTCAACCACAGGGAAAACCATTTTGAATGGTTTTAATCTCTCAATAGAAAAAGTGAGAATAATAGGGAAGATTTAATTCAGTTACTATGCAATTCTTGGATCCAGTAGAGAGACAAAACCTCAAAGCAATCTTGGGGCATTGTATTTCTGACAGTTTCATTTCTGACCATTAGATGAAACATTAAAATTTACCTTTGTGTTGCAGTGTTAAATAGCACCATAATCAAGATGCAAAATACGTAATTCAGTTGAAAAACACACATAAAAGAATTGTGGGAGCATCTGAAATTATAAAAGACCGCAAAAGTGTTTAAAAGCAAAAGGGAAATGCAGCCAAAGAAGGTAAAACAAATACAATGTTTTAGCAGAAAAAAGTATTGAAGAAAATACTTTCCATTGACAAAGCAGTCGCCACCTTTATGACTCATTGATTTCAACACGATTCAAGATCATTTACCATCCTGAAAGTGGAAAACTCACATGGGAAGAATATTGCTACAAGATAAAACCAAGTAATACCCTAGAAAGTATCCAGAGTACAATGACATATTGACAAAGGTACAACGGATAATCTAAAAGGCCTTTTTATATTCAGCTGATAAGAGTTAGTTATTCTGCTATCAGGATGAATTTATTATCAACACTGTAAAACATGAGCAGAACACCAAAGCGACTGGAAAAGAATTCTCACCTGACCAAAATCTTAGGTAAATATCTCAAATCAAAAAGCTCCTCAGGCAAAGATGAGGCTGAAATTGTGATCGTTCATTTTTTACAAACTAGAATTTGTCAAGTTTCATAAATCCTCTTTATCTCCAGCAAGCCAAACATGACCAGAGCGACAGGAAGACTTCCTGGAATGGTCTTTGGCAGCTGCCTCATGAGTGCTATGACTAAAAGAGTGCCAACTATTGTGGTATGAAATGTAAATGTGCTTGAAATAGAGCAGCCAGGACGCACAGTTTTGTTTTTTCATTACAATACAATGTGATTTTCCAAATGTTCATTATAATATGATGTGATCTTCCAAATTTTTTTAAATTTTTGAGTCCCTTGACTCACAACTGTCCTAACTGACCACCTTTCCTGGAGGCTCAGAAGATGGAAGGTTCATTAATCACCCTGGTGCTGGCAGTGCCACACTCCAGCCACCACGATTCCCTCAATCCCTGCCCCACACCCACCAAAGACACACCAGTGGCACAGCACAGCCATTCTGCACTAACAGCAAGCCCAGCACTCGCCTTGGAGATGTGGAGCATCTGGGAGGGACTGTGCTGTGTGGTTCCCTCTCAAAACCCACCACAAACAGCCAGAGTAGCTGTAAAAGGGAGACAGCACTGCAGTAAACTCATCAAAGGGAGGGTTTTATTTGCCCATAAAACTTCAAGCTGTTTATTTTCTTGTATCTGGACAGAACTATGGGAACACATGCTCCATCAGCACACAGTCATCTCAGTTTCACAACAAAGCATTGCAGAACAGCTTGTGAAAACATATTGTTCAGTTAATTGCATTGGCATGCAGATGCCCTCACATTTATGAATTAACATCCACCATGGCAAAGGGACGTACAAGGAGACACAGGGACTGTGGCATGTGGCCCTGTGCCTGCCAAGAGATGTGCTGCCTGATGGAGTGCAGCCCACGAGCTCTGGGCTTCCCTTTCCTGCTTCTGTGGGCTACAGAGGCTTCGCTATTGCCAAAGAAAAGGAGCCTTCAGGCAAAAAGCCTGTGTGTCTTAAGGATATGAGGGTTCTTAAAGCTTCAAGCAGTCCTTTATAACCAACTGACTGCCACCAAGGCACCTGAGAGACACCCAAGAGCCTCAGGGATCTCTGCATCAGCTCACTGCGCACGAAAATGAAGAAAATCCATGCCTGGAAAAGTCAATGGCAAAGAAACAGTCCAACCACAGTGGGACTCTGAAAGGTATCCAAGAATTTGTATGAGTTGCAAGAGTGTTATAGTTCATCAAACCACGCTGCTCAGGAGGAGGTGAACGCAGGAAATGAAACACAAGATTTTATTTGACATGTTCTTACCGAGTATATTGATACGCTACACAAAATATTATGGAAGGAAATTACCTGTGTCAGCACTGGTATAAATACCTGTCCAATAACCACTCAACTTTTGGTAATGGCCCTGTTAACATGGGGGCAATGAATATGTGTTTGTCACTTAAATACATCAAGCAAGTCTATTAAAAAACCCCTCTGAGATTAAACCTGGCATCTATTTCAACACTGATCAAGGAGAAACAATAGATCTGAAGTCACGTGGTTTGAGGCCAGAGGCTTTTCATAACACAGAATTTGCAACTTCTTTCCATCTTGCATATTTAGGAAAACACAGAGCACTTCGCAGTGGCTTGAATTCCCTGCATAATTCACAAAGTTTTGAGTATTTCATGACATGACAAATTGTTCAGGCACCTTGCTGTCATACCCTTCTGCTGCTGCTGCCTCAAATCTTCCCCCAAGTGTTTGAGGAGGAGGAAACACTGGACAGAAACAATGTGTGTTGGGAGGAGAGAGCTGTCATTCCTTGAGGACTAGGAACTGTCCAGAGGAGTGTCACCCCCAGGTTTTACCAGCAGGTTGTTATGGCAGTCATGCACCACTGACAGAGGCCTCCCATGCAAACACTTCCTAAGGCATTCAGCAGCTGGAATACTGTCCCTTCACCCACTCTGTTTGTGTGGGCCCTCTCCCATAGCAGAACAAGGGGAAGGATGTGTTGAATCAACTGTCACAGTAATAACTATGTGTTTCACTAACCAACTTTCTATAGCTCTGTCTCTGTAGAGACATAAATATCTCCAGATTCAACCATGCTGGCAGGATCCATTAAACCTGACATCCCTCATAAAATAATTTACTTTCCTAGAAAATAACTAGGCCATGAAATAGTTGAAGGAGAAGCGAAGACTGCTGCGTGAGGAACACTGCCAGGGACAGGGGCAGGAGAGCCTACCTGCGGACACGGGCTCCACTGTCCCCAGTCAGACACTGCACACTCACTGGGACAGTACAAGGTACACTTCTGCACTGCCTCTGGGACCTCAGCCTGACTGCACAGAGCGTTGGGCACAGTCTCCACACCGTGGTCCTCAGCAGTGCTCACACACCTACACAGAAAGCACACATTTTAATTAGAGTATCACAGGCACGATGGGCATCAACAAGTTTTCTCAATTCCATACAGGACACAGACATGACAACAGATACAAGCAGCATGGCTGGTCAAAAAATAAAACTAATATGTGAATGCAAATGGAAATCAGCTACGTGCACAACATGCTTTTGTTACTTCATACAGAGGGATTTTAACTTTGATCAGCTGACAAAGGAGCAAACAGAAAGTGACAACCAGCAAGAACAAATCTTAGTGCTCCTGCTAGTAACATCTGAACATTTGGAAATAACTCAGCATTTCCCCATGCCTGGGGAATGAATATTCAGTAATAATGAATGCCACTCTGGTGCATGCAGTGCTATTACTTGGGGAAAATGTTAGCAAATCAAAATATGGAGGCTTTGCACCTCAGGGAGCTTTATGTATACATGGCATTTAGGTTGAAGAATACTAATTTAAATATCATGCCGTGTTCCTGAAAAGCCAAGGCTGCATCTCTGAAATGCTTTGCCTGTATACCATGGCACATAAACACACAATTCTTTTCATTTGCAATACACTGGACTCAGCAACACACTCACTGTCAGATGGCCAGACATTGCAGCTTTATGCAAGAACACACGAGCTCTTTTTGATCTGGAATACCTGAGCTTTTGTCTTCACGCACCTGACTTCTCTCGTTTGTATTCCTTCTCCACAGTGGAGGGAATTCTCTTCGCTGCTGATTTTGCATGGAGACCATGGTCCTACTTCCCAGGAATACTGATTGCACTCACTGTAGCATGGGACTGCCTCGTGTACCTGACAGGAGAAAGAACCAAACTCTTCAGCTGAACTGTCCAGGTTAGCATGTCTGCAGAACAAACCCACAAAAAAGCACACTGAAAAGTATCCTGGCTTACACTCCCCATGCTAAGGCTGCTGTAATGGCTTTCAATTCATTTATTCATTATTGACTTGCCAAGGGATTTTTAAGTATATAATGAACAGCAGTATGCATGCAGCATCTTCGGAAGCAGGATAAATAACAGCTATTTCCTGCAGCCAGAAGAGGAACTCCATTACAATTTCATTTGCTCTGCCTGCTCTCAGGATAATCTATCACATGTCATTCACCAAGATCGTATGTACCACATCCTTTTGTGTTTCAGTAGGTACAAACTTAAAATCAGTGCTCATTTACCTTTGCTTCTAATGCATTCTTATAAGCCATTTGCCATAAATGAATGAAATTTCATGCCTCCAACAAATTTCATTTTTATACACAAAAATAGTAAACGCTTTTTTGCCTGCAAGTGACTTATCTCTAACATATCTCCTAATCAAACACGACAGCGTGTTCACCTGAACTATGGTATCTACAAAGGGAGAAAAATACAGCCAAAAGCTTGATAAAAGATGCCAGATATTCTGGTTGTTAAAAGCAGCACACTGAGATATAGCACTTCAGCACATTTTTAGGTTTAAATAAATGAATGCATCAACAGTTCTATTACAGTGATGAATAAAAGTTATTTATTTTGGATCTGGTTTGTCTGCAGAAGCTGATTTGAAGATACAGTATTCCCTGTTGCTTTGCATGAAGCATAATGTGCTGCCCTGGAAAAATACAACACACCTAAAATTCCTTCTTCCACATACCAAAACCTCCTCAGCCTTGCTGCTGTGAAGCCATTTCATTCTCACCTGTAGAATAAATCAATAGCCTTCCTCCCAATATCTCCCAAAAAGATTCAGACACATGTTTAATAATTTACAGCTTCATTTTAAAATAGCAGATTATGACTAGACATGTTATGGCCACAAGAAAAAAGAAACCCTCTTTATAACCTTTTGCAGGTGGGAAGACAAAAAAATTCAGATACCAGTCTGAAAACAAAACTGGTGTCCCATCAGAAAATCACCTTAATTTCAAATGGAAGGAAGACAACTTGAAAAGTCTTCAAAACAGAAAATGTCCAAAACTAATTTTAACTGTGGGTCTGTCTGTACATTGTGCATAGGTTTAGCAGAAAAGGAAGAATAATAGATGATGAAAAGTGGAAAACAAGTAAAGGTGCAAACACAGGAAAAAGGGAAATCAAAGTTTGAACTGGTGAGGGCAAGGACAATATGAACCAGTAAGAGAATCACATTTCATACAGAGGAGGGGAGAGGAAGGGAACAAAAGGGGCAAAGGTAGTCATACCATTAGCACATTATTATTAAGCACATATTGTTAAGCACAAATTACAAATCTGGATGTGGTTTTGAGCAATCTGAACTAGCAGAAGGTGTCCCTGCCCATGATGGGGGAGCTGCAAACGAGATGATCTTTAAGGTCCATTTGAACTGAAGCCACTCTCTGGTTCTGTGTGGGCTGTGCACCGAGGCACTGGCACTTGGCCCAACTCCAGAGCGTACAGGTGTCTGTGCATTGTACAAAGTGCACTCAGAGCTGAGCAAGCAGCACCACAAGCAGTGCTAATTAGCTGAGCAGCCAGGCTCGTTATCATTAACTGTGTACATGGGAGCACAGAAAAGCAGTACTCACCAAGCCTGAGAGCCCATGGATGCTGGGACACAGCTGAAGCCACCATCCTGCCCCACCACCTGTCACCTCCACTGACTCCTGCAGCCACATCCCTGCATGCGCCAGGGACAACAGCAATCCCTCTTCAGGCACTGCAAAGCCTTTGTGTTCCCCACAGACATCCATCCAGGAGATGGATGTAGAGTCAGGGAGTATTTATTAGTTTCCGTGCTCCACAGGGGGAAGGAAAAACTACAGCCTGCCTATGTTGCCTGATAAAACACCCTGTCATCCACAGGAGACGATTAGTGAGGGAAACAGGTGCTTGAGGCATGATCAGGTTTTTCCTCATCAAAGAGGGAATGAGCAAAGAGCCAAGCTTGGACAAAACTGGCTGCCAGGGGCCAGCCCAGTGAGAAGGGCAGTGTCAAGGATGGTAAAATGCAATAATTAAGTTCTATTAAGAGCTGGGTGGGCTGTTCTTGCTTTTAGACTTCTGGGGAGGAGGCTGAGGTTGGGAGCAGGCAGGGGTTGCTGCCTCCCTCCCTCCCAGCCTCCACAGGCACATCGGGGCAGCCAGGCCAGTCCAGCACAAATAGCAGCTTTGGGGATTAAAGATTCTTTTCCTTGCTCTAATAAATAACCCTTCCTCAGGGTTAGGGTATACCAGTGTGAACCTGCAGGCTCTCAGCACTCACCCTGCTGCCTGAAGCCAGGCTGAGACCAAGAGCTTGGGGACTCCATCTCATTGTCTCAGTGACCTCTGATTGCCCCCTTTAACATCTGTTAAACCTCAGACCTCTCCTAACCAGCAAAACCCACCTGTGGACAGCAGCAAAGGCATTTACCATAAACGTGTTTTAGTGGTCAAAACCTCCTGTGGCATGTACGTGCTGTAGTAACTGTGGAGGAAAACCAGACAGAGTTGGGCAGGCATGGGATGCCACATGAACTAAAATCAATCTGAGGAATCCTGTGAGCCAAAACAGAAATCCCATAGGCACTGACACAAATAGACATAATGTGAAGTGATACTTCAAATGTGCTCTTTAAAGAGCAAGGAGGATCACAATAGCAAAGCCATTAATAGAGCACTCCTAGCCTGCTGTCTGACTGTGTCAAACCTGTTCGATTACGTGTGAAGTGCCATCAGCTCTCTTCCTCCTCCAACAGACAGACAGACAGACAGACAGACAGACACATCCCACTTTGTGCTGGAGGAGGGAGGGGACCCAGCCCTGGCTGCTTGTCCCTGGGGTACCTCAGATCCCCAGTGATCTGCTGCTGACCTGTGCAGTATTTCCTCTTCAGTCAGGATCCCCAGCTTCCACTCACCATCAAAAACCTGAATTACAGCTGTCCCAAATAACCTGTTTTCCTAAGATATTGTGCTGACACCATAGGACACTGTTGTTGTGAACAAGCTCTCTCCTCTGCCCTGTGCCAGTGCTGAGCAATGCCATCTCTGGCAGCACCTCTGGGACACTGGGGAGATGTAAATAATCACCTGCATCACTGGGAGGGACAAATTTCTTCAGAACAAGTTACAACAGGCACCCGTGGATGCCATTAAGCTCTTAAGTGGGAGTCTCAAGGAGATGCAAGATTTCCACGGGTGAAACTCAGTGGGAATGAGTTCAGGAAGCTGTGAATACAATTTGTAACTCCATCTTTGCATTTAAAAACCACAGTGATGTGGCACGTGGTTCTTTCCTCCACAGGAGAATGCTTTCCTCCTATTTTCTCTCCTGGCTTGCCATAATTTGTTTTCAATCACCTCCAATTCCTCCTTTTTCTTCTTTTTTTTTTTTTAATTTGGAAAAAACCTACAGCAAACCTTGAAGCCTTGCATTTCTGTTTTTGCTAGGAGCTGTGCTACTAGAGGTGGTCAAACAGACATGCTCTTGATTTTTCATTTTCAAAGAGTTTTGACTAAGCATTGCTGTTCTGTGGGTCCTCCAAAACAGAGGGCCCTAGGTTCACTTCTCACCTCCTGGGTCCATGGGAGCACCCCTGTCCTGACCCTGAACAGAGGCTGGGATGGGATGTGGTGTCCTCATTCCCCACCAACCCAGGGACCCAAAGCACCCAACACTGGAAGGAGTTGGGATGTGCTCCCATAGATCCTTGGCTGTTACAGAGTGCATCCAACCTTCAAACTACACATGGCCTCCTGGCCCCCACCAAGTTTGCCATCCACTAACTCTGCTGCAGATACAGAAGTCCCTTGTAAAGCTGGGACACTTCCCTTCCCAAGCACAAACACAACAGTTTCTTTGAAAATCATCTGCTTAATGTTCACCCTCCCCCAAGCTTATGCAAACCTGCTACGACAGTGCATTTACAAACCCCTTCACACTGAGGCCCTGTATGGAACTGCAGTGCCACAATTCATGTCCTGAAGGACAAAAATAAAATGAATTCCATGCAACAGGTACAGGAACCCATTGTTCTGCATGGAGGGAGAATGATGCTGGAAGCTACAGACACTTGACCTGCGAGGAGCTGCACAGATCAGCACCCAGGGCAACCAGCCTGGCTTCATCTCTCACTGCCTCAAGAAATAAACACAGTCTTCTAGCATTTTAGCAAATTAATTACTTTCCTCAGTTTTTATTCATATTTACCTGCTGGGTTTTGGGCTCAGTGAACCAAGTGCTGTAATGATGCCTGTCTGAAGCCAAGGGGAGATTTGCTGCTGCCTTTGACTGGATCGCTGTATCTCTCTTTGTAGCCTGAATTAACCCAGAACACTGCTCTAACACCTGAGTCCCAAAATCGAGTTGCTGGGAACAGATCTCAATAAATTAAAGGGAAGAAGGACAAAAGCTACCTTTTAAGAGAGACTGCTAAAGCTTACCCTAATAAAACAACCCAGTTCCCATTCACTCCAATGCAAATCCTGAGCCCTTGCTAAGGCATTATTGATGTGGACAGTTACTTTAACAAGATACACAAGTGTAAATCTATTTATTTTCTCTTTTAATAGCTGATACTTGCATTTTAATGAAAATCCAAATATCTAACCTCCCAAGAGCTTTGGTGTGATTTATATTGTTCTCTAACTTATTTACATGTAGGCTTGCAAAGGACTTATAGAAATAAATGCACTTGCTTAAATGATGTTATTCATTAAAAGAAATTCCGACCTATACTTCAGGTAGTCTGTCTGATGAGCACCTGCAGAATAAACTAGAATGAGGTTCAACACTTCTGAAAATCATAGTAACTTCATATTTCAGTGAACATCAAGATTTATTGTCCCTCAAGGTAAATATTGACTCTGGTTTTCCCTCAGTCGATATTTTAGCTTTCATGACAGTAAATCTTGGTGTTCACTCCAACTAAGTCAATATCTGCTTATTATATTAGAACAACCAAACTGATCACTGTAGCAGTTGCCTGAGACCCTGAGGACTACCTCTGTGCTATTCATTTCTAATACAAATGGGCGAAATTCATTGCTAACATAAGTTCATTTCACATGGCTGCCCTTACATGAAGGTTACATTAGACCTAATACATTGAAACAGTCAGAACCAAAGAAATAAAAACCCATTTTCAAACTGTGGAGACCACCATGAGTAACAGTAAAGGCAGAGAAGATATCATATGGCAAAGTGAGCTTGCTCTGGTTTGCAAAGACACTTGCTGGTAAGGGCTAAAACCACTGCACCTGTCACTGGACAGCAATTTGCTCACTTGTAACACTTTTTGAATAACCACTTGTATGTTCTCTACATATCCAGGCTGCAACAGGAGGCCGCAGTGGGATCTTCTCCTCCCCTTAGAGCTTATGGCCACCAGCTGGTGACATATGGGCCACAGCCAGCATTTCTCTTGCAACCTGCCTGACACAAATGGATTTACACTATGGTGGGAAATACATGTGAAAAAATGTCCATTCACTGTAATAATCTACACATTTGACTTCTGTGTTGACTCCATCTCGTTCATCCAAATCTTTCCTTTGGTTGAAAGATGTCTATATATTAACTGAATAACTTTTATAATGCTCCAATGCTGCTTTCACATTCTGTTTAATAGCAACCAGATAATTTCTAACAATTAATTTCTTTTATTTAGTTCTTTAAAACTGAATTAAAAATTGAGTACTTGCTTTGTTAATTACTTAACTGCGTGTTTGATTTGGCAGATCTAAGCATGCACTTAAAAGCTTTACTGAATTAACTGAATATCTGAAGGACCAGCATTTGCACATTAACAAACACTACATCACAGAAATTATCTCATTAAAATTTCAGCATTAAATAGTCCTCTTTAAAATAAAATTGATTTTATTTCATGCTAGTTTATATATTGATCACGATTGCCAGTAATATGCTAACCACTCACCAGTACTAAACCTGGTTGAACAGTTAATTTTCAAGCAAATTAGATTTTGCAAAGCAGCAGGTTCACTGAAGAATATTTGTCTTTAGGTATTTGGATGCTGCAGCAAATAGCCACCAAAACTAAAAAAAAATTGCTCAAAATGACTTAGAGCACAGAAGTTTGAACAGATCTGTGGTAAGACTTCTAAATTATCAGAATTCCTGAATTTTGTATGCCTCTAGCAGATCCCTGCACAAATACTTGTGAAACAAATTCAGCACTTTTAGTTTTTATTTACACCCAAATCAAAGGAGTTTGTGTTTCTTACCTTCTTTGTGGTGTGGAGAAAAGAAAATCAATTAGAGCTTTGTGAGGTTCTGAAAAGCCTTCACTGGTGTTGAACCAAAAAAACCTGAAACTGCCTAAAACTCTGTATGCAGCAAAAGGATGAGATCTGTTTTATTCTAAATTCAGAGCCAGGGCAGCAATTCCAACAGCACAGACACAGAGTTGCTCCAGTTGCCAGGATCTGCCCTGTGGCCAGAATGGAAACCCCTGCACAAAGACCCCTCACCCTTCCTCCACTACTTCAAAAACTGCTGGAAAATTATTTTCTCTGAAAAGAGTGAAAACACTTATCAAGCCTCTGAAGTTTCCCCTGCTCTTGATTATCTATTTATAGCCCAATCCTCAAAACTGCTCAACTTTAATCCTAATTTACACATGAGACAACTGAGGATGAAGAGTTGAGTGATTTACTAGAGGGTGGCCAGGAAGCCCTCGGGGAGTGGGGGACTCAGTCTGGAAATGCCCAGTTTCTTGCACTAACTGGATGATATCTCAGCTGCAAATCAGATCCTGGAAAGTTCAGATAAAGACATTTCAGGATGAAGCCATCAAAAAAAGCAGCACTGTAAAATTCTGGCTGCAAAATGAGGAAAAGAGGAGAAATTAGGAAAGCAGCAGGGTATTCTTCCTATAAAGACATCTGGATGCTGCATTTTCCCTCACCATGGCCTTTAGATGCTTTTACTTCATCTATTTTTTTTTGCTGGACTTTACAAAATGCTCCTATTAAATCCCTTACTTTCTTCTAATGGATAATTAAATATTCCAAGTCAGACACTGATTTATTTCAAATTCTTAAGTGCAATGAGTGGAAAATGCCTTGTTTAGAAAGTTAATTGAGGCAAGCTCTATCGAACCCCAGCCATTACATCTCACTCTGATAGAACTACCATGTTGCTCAGCAAGGTTTATTAATTCATATTTACAAGTGGTAAGTGGTTTTATTTGCTGTGAGATTGGTGCAGGCACTAGAAACACCAAGTGGTAACAGGGTAAAGCATGAGTGCTCTTTCTCAGAGATTAAAATACCAAATTGGCATCATTCAACACGAGTAAATCAGGAAAAAACATGCAGCTCCTGGCCCCAAACCTGCCTGTCTGGTTTTACTCATGATTTTACTGTCAGTAAAACCTCTGAGGAGCAGGACATAGCACAAAGTATAACCTTACACATATTGAGTATTTATTTCTACCAGAAATACTCAGGCAAGACAATTTAGTCTCAGAGTTTTCCAAAAAAATTGAGGAGTTAAAGTAGGAAGGGAGGCTTATGAGAATACAGTCACAAAGGGCCAGTTCCTGTGCCTCTGCTTTTTATTTTACATTTTAATTATGCTTCATTCCTACCAAGAAAATACTAAATCCAGGTAAGATACTAACAAATGCCATCTTACAATGATGTCAGATACAGGGGTTTAAGACAAGGCAGAAACTCATTAGTGAGAGTTTCAGTGCATTTTTGCAGATTTCAGATCTTGTAGGTGCTGCTACCTCCCTGTCACAAAGCCAGACAAGCATAGAAAATTTAAGTAGATAGAAATAAATCAATATCCCTTGTTTCTGAACCAACACATTTCGCTGCAGCTGGAGTTTCAGGGGTAACAAACAAATGTGGCACCTCTCTGGATGAATCTGTAATGTTATAATAATGTTGGATCCAGTTTTAAAGAGAGGAAGAGGAAAATATAGCTGATTGATGAAGAAAACATCGAAGCCCTTTTTTACTAGATGAGAACAACAAGATGAAGACAGATTGCAACACCAACCTGAGCCTTTGTAGATGTCCATGTTAGCAGGGCATGACAAGCAGAAAGGAAAGAAAATTATATATGCATTAGTTTGGCTGCTGCATGATAATACTGCAAAAAAAAAAAGGAAAAAAAGGCAGGAAATCTGCTTAAAATAAAATTGCCACAATGTAATGTTGCATTCAATGCTTTGATTACCCGTCTTAAAAAAAAAAAATTACCTCAAGCAGAAATCAAGCATTTCTTTGTGAGTGAATGAAAAGCTCTACTATGCTGAAGAATAAAGCAGAGTTCATTCAGCTCCATCCAGCAATCCTCAGGAGCTCATCACTGTGTCTCACGATCAAAGTTTAGGATAATAAAAAAAATTTTTGAAAATCTAAGAAAATCTATGACCCTGAAATCTGGTGAGACACCCCACAATTATGGACTATCAGTCGTAAGGGACCAGAAAGGCCTTCAGGTATTTAGATATTAACTGGGTGGCTCTGTCATTAGTGAAGCCTGCAGCAGCCATGTCCCTCTCCTCTGCTCTGACTGAAACACCCAAGAATTCCCCACAGAGGAGTGGCAGAGCCACCCCGGCCTGGGGACACGGGGCTCTGGAGCCTGTCATGGCCACCACAGCCTGGGGACACGGGGCTCTGGAGCCTGTCACGGCCACCACAGCCTGGGGACACGGGGCTCTGGAGCCTGTCACCGCCACCACAGCCTGGGGACATGGGGCTCTGGAGCCTGTCACCGCCACCACAGCAGCTCCGTGCGCAGCCAGCCGGCGCTCCCAGAGCCAATCACTGCCCCAGCAGGTCAGAAACCTGCCCCAGCAGGATGTGAGCAAGTAATTACTCGATCCAGAAGCCAAGTCATCTGTCACACGAGATGAAATAAACGCCGTCACTAAACACAAACAGTCCCACAGAAGCACTTTCTTTGTAGGCATCTGGACAATAGGCAATTTAAAGGAAAGACCATCAGAGTTTCCTGCTAAGTTAAAAATGATGCCTTGGAGACACAGCTCAGCCCTAGCCTTTCTTTTAGGAGATTTTAAATAATTTCAAGGTCTAAGAGGTTCAATTCGATATTCTATCAGTTTATTTTCACATCTTTAAGCAAGAATGAATTAACGCAATAAGAGCAGTCACACCTGTCCTTACTGTAGCATGATCTTGAACTGACAATTTCTTCCACACGAGATTTAAAACCAGTTAACTGACAAGAACAATTTGATTGATAGCACTATAGACAAGACATAGAAGAGACAGGGGAGCGTCAGGCAGTTGAAAGTTACATTTTTTGAAACACTCTTCCATGAGGCTACACCAAAGGCTGGAAGCAAGAGCAAGCTGCTCCTGAGGCTTCCCGCAGTCACAGCAAGAAAAAGTCCAGTTTATGTTCCTGCAAAAGCAGGAATAGAAATGCAAACCAGCCCATAACCTGATTGTTTTGTCAGGATGAGGCTGTGGCTCTCCCCCAGCCCACTCAGCAGCAGGTCTCATTCCTCCTCAGCAGCAGCCAGGCAGAAACGGATGCTCGCAGCGAGAGCGGGACAGGCGCTGATGGATGAGTGATAGATCCCATTGCTTCAGAGCCCAGAGAGATCACCCACAGCCTGATTAGCAACTGGAGCTGGAAAAATTTCCCCTAGAAGAGCAAGATAATGCAGAAGGCAGGGGATGTGACAGCCTGTTGCACGGCCTGTTTGTGGGAGCTGTCTCATTGGCAGACGTTAGTGCTGCGTTTAGGCGCGGCAATAACTCGAGTGATTTTCTCCCTGTAATTACAGGTGAGGCAAAGGCAGGTCCCCCAGCAGTGCTGTACTGAGCCCAGCCTCGGGACCAGCCACACAATTCCACAGATGTGAAGGCAGCTAAAGCCGCACCACTGCACACTTAAAAATCCTGCAATTGTTACAATCTGACAGTTTTTATTGCTATTTCTTGCAGGTGGATCCAGACAGAAAAGATTTAGGTACAGAAGAGCTGAGTTTTCTTCCCCAAATGCATATGTTCAAGGAAAGTGATGTGCTGCAGAGAGAAACCATGTTTCTACCTGAAAGAACATCCATATTTAATAAACTAAAGGCTCCCTTGAGCCAGAAGTTAAATTCTACCCAACCTACTTCAAACATCAGAGAGCATACACACTGTCCCCAAGCCAAAAGATAAGAGGGAATTGCTTGCAAGCCACTACCTTGTGGGGTAGCTGACATCTTCTCTGTTTCCAGTCCTTCCTTTCTTCTCTGTTTCCATTCCTTTCTTTCAGGGCAATGAATTGTATTATTCAGGAATATGTATTTTCAGATTCCTGCATTTCTATCACTGACCTGTAGTTTGAGGTTAAATGCTTTACAGGGACCTGCACAAACCTACACAAATCAACACAGACTTCTACAGAATTCCACTGGGATGTGTTGCAGCAAGCAAGAAACATCTGAACATTTATAGGTGCTTCACTAAAATTTAGGGGAAAAAAGCATTGATCATGGTGAATTTTTGCTGCAGTATGTATTTACTGAAATGGACATCAATACTGCCTATATATTGCTGATTAATGAGAAGCTATATAAAAAGTAAATAGATGGGTTTTTGAATAAACCTGACAAGGAAAACATCTCTAGGGGTGGGCAGTGAGGGTTGGACTAGATAATATTTAAGGTCCCTTCTAACCCAAACCATTCCAGGATTCTGTGAAGGAACAACAGAATAATTCTCATACACATGTGCACATAGTCTGCCAACACCAGCATCTAGCACATAGCTGTATTTTCTTGGTTTTAAGGAATTTGAGTGTCTGACTGCAGGAACCCTACCAGAACACTGAACTCCTGATTTGTTCACATACCAGAGGGTCCTTTACCCTATAACAAGCACCACCAGTGCACCAAGTCCTGCTCTGTACCACCATTCAGGATGGGGATGTCAGGGCACGAGTGATTCAGCAGTTCTCACACCTCTGCCATTCCCTGGAGCACCACCTTCATGCATCCATGACTCTGGAAATAATGGAGTGAAAAAGGCTGTTTCCCAAAACAGCAAGTAAAAGGAGAAAATAGAAAGCAAATGCACATGGAGACTACACAACCCAGCTGTGCTTTGCAGTGTGTTGTACTTGTGAACCACTCTACCTGAAACCTTTTAGAGAATTAAATAATGCAACAAAGCAAATAGCGTGTGGTATAAATTAGAGGATCCAGTAATTTAAAGATCATGCAAATGGTCTAAAGGAAAGTATTCACTCAGCCCACTGCAGATGAGAAAGTAAGGAAAATTAACAAGGCAAAGACAAGAAACTGATGTTGAATAGCAGATCTGAAAGGAACTGAAGAGTTAAAAAATAAGGGGAAACACCATTACCTATCACAGGAGGCACACAGAGAAAGCCCAACACTAAAAGTAAGTCAATTTACAATAGAGGGAATGGCAGAAAATGGAAGATCAACAGGGTGAAGGCAAAGAAAGGTGAGATAAACTTTTTATGATAGGCACTGACTCAGAAAGTTTGCCAACAAGGAGGGCAAACTTGAAGAGACACTTGAAATAATTCCTGTGTCAATGGGGTTATTTAGGAATGACAGGGACAAGATGCCCAGCATCTTCAGAAGATGCAAGAGAGCTGGAGGAAGAAATGAGGAAAACAGTGAATTGCACAGCAGTCATACAAACCACTATTCTTCAGAAAATATTTTTCTACAGACATCATCTATAAGCAGCAGAAAATAACAAGGAGATGAGTAGCAGGCAGCATGGGTTTGTCAAGAACAAACTGTGTGAAATCATTGTAATGTTCTTCAGTAACAGGATAAGAGATGCTGTGGATAGGGATGAAATGGCAGGTATTATGTCGACCTTACTAAGCCTTTCACAAACCTTCAGGCTAAGGAAATATGGTTTGGATTAATCTAATACTCTGCAGTACAATGCTGTAAAATCACATTCAGAATAGCAAAGTGTAAAACTGGCAAGAAACCACACACTTGGCTCTGCAGAGCTTTATGTTCTGTATCCAGTCATAGCCCTTCTTTTCATTAATGTAAGGCTGATGGACTGAAAATGATTCTTACTGACTGTGGATGCTGCCAAGGTGACAGGGACAGCAAGGCTACTGGAGAACAGGAATTCAAGAATTCAAGATGCACTTTATGAATTAGTGACATGGAATGAAAAAATAAGTTGAAAGAGAAGCAGAGAACTACAGTGACCAGAGACTGACCAGACAACAGTGAGAACACAGGATGAGAAACAAACAGCCACTCAGGGGTACCACTGTCCTGGATCCAGGAATTGCAGAGAGCCATAAAGTGAATGTGATCCAACAGTATAGTAAAATGATGAGACAAATACAGAGTTTGTAAAACACTGAGGTACCACTTCAGCTGTGGCACAGGTTCAGCTCAGGAAGCACAGCCAGGCTTAGGTATCCAAGTTGATGAGAAATCTGAAGGATTTGAACCAACTGGGGAACAACTGATGGCAGTAACACTATAAAGACCAGAATCAAATTGCCAAGGTGAGTGGTGGCATTTCCTCTGCTGCTTTACAGGCAAACATTTAAAACACCAATATAATTAGTTACCATCTATATGATGGCAGGTCTGTCAACAAAGCATGGTACCACTGTCAGATAAAATAGCAATGCTTAGCCATAAAAAGAAATAACTCTGCTGTATCACACCAGATGCAGAGTAGCAAAAAGACACCTGAGAGAGCTTTAAAGAGATCTTCCAGCAGCTTGAAACCATCTATCTGCAGCATCACTGAGCTCTATGCTGGCTTATTCACTGCTGCCTTGAATAAATCACAGATTGCCAGACTCTGTTTTGGAAACCTGGGGCTGGTCTTATACCTCATAGAGGAATAGGGGGGAAGAATTTCCATTATATTAAATATTAACAACACGGTTGTTGTAACACTGCCTACAGTCCTAGCTCCTCATTGTAAAAGCATTGATAATGACAGAGCAGTTAAAGGAAACCCAGGAAAATAATTCAAAGTCTGGAACACTTGCCTAAAAGTAGGAAAATTAAG